TGTACTCTTATTTATATGACCTTGTTTGCATGTTTTTATCATCTCAAGCATTTACATTCACTCTGCTATTGAGGTCAAGGGCCCACCAACTATTTCACTGCGTGCGAACCTTCCTGGGTAGATCCCGGGCTACGATCAACTTCTGATCGCAGCAAAACATGTCGAGCAATGTCCAGCCAGTTCCTATGGCAAAAAAAAAAAAAAAAACGTGTGTATATGTGACCACAAGAATAGAGTTTGTTTAAGGCCCTTAAAGTTAAAACTTCATTAGCAATACAAACGTTTGACTATGACAACACAACTTTGTTTAAGCTTCTGAAGGTTGTAGTTTGATAACCAGTTTCGTAACGGTTGGTTGAATTGCATGTTCAAGTTCTTACTTTCGCAAAAATGTTCTCGAACTGTGGCAGCGGCGTGGTTCTCGTGTCGCCGTCGATTGTTTCGAAGCTGTCGTAATCCGACGGCAAGTTTGTCAATCTGCAATTTTTGATATGATTGGTTGATAGTTTCGTTTGTTGAGCTCATCCCCTCCTCATCGCCCCACGCGTTGTTCATAAATATCGTTCCTACTTCGCAGTTGATTACCAGTTCCGTCACACACCATAGCCGGCCTTCTGTTTCCAAAGACATTGTGTTCCTTTCTGTACTGAGTTATTAGCTTTCTGCCGGTCTTACCGCTCGCTCTTGACGAGATTATATTTTTCGCGACTTTCATCTCCCGGAAACATGTCAGGCCGAGGAAAGGCTGCTGGAAAGAAGGCAGTGAGCAGGTCAGCAAAGGCAGGACTTCAGTTTCCTGTGGGTCGTATAGCCCGTTTCCTCAAGGCTGGAAAGTATGCCACTCGGGTTGGTGCCGGTGCTCCAGTGTACCTTGCTGCAGTCCTCGAATACCTAGCTGCTGAGGTGCGTATGCCGTCACCAGTGAATTTTCCGTTTTCCCTTATTGCGCTTTAGCGATTATAGTACCTAACCTTGTGGCCCATTTTCTTTCAGGTTTTGGAGCTTGCCGGGAACGCAGCCAGAGACAACAAGAAGACTCGCATCGTTCCGAGACATATTCAGCTGGCCGTGAGAAACGACGAGGAGCTCAGCAAGCTCTTGGGAACGGTTACCATTGCAGCTGGTGGTGTCTTACCAAACATTCAGTCGGTCCTACTTCCGAAGAAATCATCGGCTGACAAGGGCGACACCTCAGAAGCTTAGTCTGGAAATAGTTTTTGTTTTATGGCTTGGTAAGGTTTTCATGCCGCACGTGCTTGTAGTACACTGACTAGTTTTCTTCGACTGTGGGTTTCAGCTTACACAGTGATAACGTTGTATGACCTGTATTTGGCTGTGTATTATGTTACTAAGAAGTAATTTTTAATTTACACAAACATTTGCAAAATACCAACAAACATGGACATGTTACTGTACTGTTCGCGTTAAAACAACTCGTGCGTCGATCCTCCCGTTCCCCCCTTCCGCTCCGTGTCCCTCCTCTTTCCCCCCCTCCTCCTCTTCCCCCCTGGCAGCAACGGCATGGTGGCGGACGAAGACCACATTCTGCTGGGGAGCGGATGAGTAGGGATTGAGGCAGTGAGTGGTGGTAGTAGGGAGTGATGGGGTGGGGCGACGGTTGGAGAGGTGTGGGAAGGGGATCATAGAAGTGAGGGCGAGAAGAGGGACTATTTAGTAGTACAGTGGTTCAATGGACATACGGTGGTCCTTCTCCACTCCCCACCCTGTTTCCTCCTCACCCCGTTCCCTGCCCCCTGTTCCGCTGCTGCTTCTCTCCCCTCTCGTACCCACTCCGTTCCGCTTCGTTTCCTTTCCGTCTCGCCACCGAGTTGTTCTTCCCAACTCAGTCATCCCTACCCATCCCATGCCTGTGCGCCATTCCCGATGTCCCATGCATATGTGCCTGCCTGCACCATTCCCGATGTCCCATGTTTGTGTGCGCACGCTCGTCGCTGGCAGGTACCCATACGTCACGGGCGCGTCGGTGCTGTCGATGAAGTATAAGGACAACGTCATCATGGCGACTGACATCATGGGTGAGTCAGCATATGCCATGGGTGAGTCAGCAGATGCCATGGGTGAGTCAGCTGTTGTGATGGCTGGAACCTGCATGGGTGTTGTACCATGGGTATCACCGTCGGTGCTGGCGATGAAGTACAAGGACGGCGTCATCATGGCGAACAAGGGCGAGCCCTTCCTTGGCTCGATGAGTGGGATCTTTCGTCCTTACTTTCTTTTTGCTTAGTAGGAGCATTGCACCACTTCCTTTGAATGCTATTAGTCCTTGCAGATTTCGAAAGTAACCGCAGAGGGAGTGACAATATCGAAGCCGTTTGCGGTGAAGATTGAGTGGAACTACGCCCATTTTCCGAACGCAGTGCCTGGTAAATACTGTGCTTCCTGGTAGCAACTCAGGCCTCTTATACCAAGTGCATACATGCTTTAGTGGAGGCTCGAGACGACGACCATGTTGACGCTCGCTCATTTACCTTCCGCATACTGTAATACATTGATTGCATGATTGCACAGTGAAGGATTTGTTTTGTTCCAAACCGATTCTGACTAATCTGATTCAGTGAAAACCAGGTTGTGGTGTGGTGAGACATTACGCGAACGCATTCCTTCACGATCTTGCAACGATTAATAAGCCACAAGGTGGATTGGAAGACGAGGTGAGAGCTGTGGATCGAGCTTTGCTTTGAGTGGTGAGCGATGTAGATTGTTGCCAGGACAAAACGAGTGACAGACCACCATATTGATGTACTCTCGCCATGCATTCGCTAATGCAATTTCCACCACAAAGCATGTTGAGCAGTGTTGAGCCAGTTTCTATGACAGGTGAAGCCATACTATAAAAATAATGTGGGTTTATGTGATCACAAGAATCATATATGCCAAGGCCCTTAAGTCTTACCCTCATTAGCAATACAAATGTTTGAAGTTGACAGCACAGCTTTGTTTAAGCTTCTGAAGCTTGTAGTTTGATAAACTGTATCGTAACAGTTGACTTGCATGTTCGAATTCGTGTTTTCGCAAAAAGGTTTCCAAACAGTGGCCGCGGCGTGAACCTCGCTCTGCGGTCGATTGTTCAGAAGCTGTCGTAATCCGACGGCCAAGTGGTCAATCTGAAAATATTGATATGATTGGCTGATCAGTGAAAGCGGCGTGGACCTCGTGCCGTCGATTGTTCTGAAGCTGTCGTAATCCGACGGCGAGGTTGTCGATCCGTAGGTGTTGATATGATTGGTTGATAGTTTCGTGGGTTAGCTCTTCCTCTCCTTGTCGCCCTGTGCGTTGTTCATAAATGTTGTCCTGCTTCGCTGTTGATCTCCAGTTACCGTCACAAGCCTTATTCAGCTTTCCCAAATCGTCTCCCTTGAGTTAGTAGCTTTCTGTCGATCACACCGATCGCTCTTAACGATTCCACTCGCTTCGCGACTTTCGTCTCTCAGAAACATGTCAGGCCGAGGAAAAGCTGCTGGAAAGAAGGCAGTGAGCAGATCAGCTAAGGCAGGACTTCAGTTTCCTGTGGGTCGTATAGCCCGTTTCCTCAAGGCAGGAAAGTATGCCACTCGGGTTGGTGCCGGTGCTCCAGTGTACCTTGCTGCAGTCCTCGAATACCTAGCTGCTGAGGTGCGTAAGCTGTCACCAGTTATTTTTTCGTTTTCCTTCATTGCGCTTAAGTGGTCGTAATACCTAACTTTTTGCCCGACTTTCTTTCCAGGTTTTGGAGCTTGCCGGGAACGCCGCCAGGGATAACAAGAAGACTCGCATTGTTCCGAGACACATTCAGCTGGCCGTGAGAAACGACGAGGAGCTCAGCAAGCTATTAGGAATGGTTACCATTGCCGCTGGTGGTGTTTTACCAAACATCCACTCAGTCCTGCTTCCGAAGAAGTCGGCGGCTGACAAGGGCGAGACCCCAGAAGTTTAGGCCGACTAGGATTCTTTTTTGGCTTGATACGAAGGTTTCCATGCTGTACATGTTTTTAGGAATATACTGACTAATTTCAACTGTGGCCACTAACTAACGCAGTATAATGTGTGTTCGGCTCCTGCTGGATTATTCCAATGGGAAGTAAGAATTTAGTAACCTGAACATTTGGTAAATATATTTATACGGTGCTTAAGTTCCTGCAATTATGATAAACATATCACTGTACTGTTCGCGTTAAAACAACTTGTGAGGCAATCCTCCGGCCAGTCAACTTTCTAGACCAGAGAGCTCCTGTCAGACCCGATTGGCCATTGCAGCTAACTGTGTGTTCAGGATTTTTGTCGCTCGCGACTGTACGCCATTCGCGGGAACTTAGTGTCAGACCTAAGTGGTGATCAGCTTTTTAGTTCCAGGTACTACGCGTAATGTTAGCACGTCACCGTTGTTTCTGGCTTTGTTCTCACGAACTGGCGACTACTGCCTCAGGGTCGATACAGGAAGGCATCTTTAGTTCCTCTGTATTGTATGTGAGCTGACGATAATGCTAACTCGACTCGCTCTTGCTAGAGTAGTAGGTTCATCATGGGGGGTGATCTGGAAATAAGTACTCCTCTCGCGTTCGAGCTGGATCCATAAGAGAGGACCGCCATGAGATTACGATCCTGTTGTTGAATGTCCGACATTTACGTTCTAGCCCTATTTTTCCTTTCGACCGTAGAAAGAAACAGATAAAACGGCTTCACGTGGAGGCCATGTATATCGCCTACGGATGGCCGAAGGTTCTCCGAACGACTCGCGGTCCCGACGATCCAGTCGTCCACTTGGAGATTAGCGGGGGGCTGCTCATCGTGGTTCACCTCTCCTGCATTCAACTATGGACCTCCGGCCAGGTTAGGGTTTGAGAAGCGCCTGGACAAACATGCGTTTGAATCTACTAGCATTTGAGTGTACTTGCTGCTGGACTGAATCTTAATTAGTCGATAGAATCTATTTAAGCTTAAGGCGCTTGCGAGGTGTGACGCAGTCCGCGGCTCGAGCAACTTCATCTGGACAGCATGACGGGATGACCCTGGCTCAAATCCTCTTCACCGTTTGCGTTTCAATTCCAGAATGCATCCGCAACCCTAATGCGCTGGTGTGCTTGCGATCCTAACTCTACCGCTGGTCCTCTGATTACCACCTGCCATTTTCCTCTTGCCGTTGTTGCGTTTTGATCGTTCCTCTGGTTTGATCTCGACAGCACCGCGTGAAGCTGGGAGAGTTCGTGCGAGATGACAAGTCGCTCCTGGAAGACGGTGGCAACCTGCACGCCATATGGAACGAAGCTGTCGAGACGCTCGCTGTGCTGGTATGCTGAGAAGCCTGGGGTGCTGGCATGCTGAGAATGGGGGGGTACGCTGAAGCCTAATGACTCGTCCTCAGTCTGTCGTCTCATTTTGAACTACCTTCTTCTTATCTGCTCACTTCATCCCGCTTTCCCCTCTTTTCGTCTCTCCCCCATTTCCTTCATTCACTCTCTCATTTCTTCTTCCCCCTTTCACTGCAATACCCCCAAACCTCCCTGCTTCCCCCTTCCCCCCTCCCCCTACCTCCCGTGCCCCCTCAACCCCTCCCGCTTCCCTGTTCTGACAGACGGCAAGCAGCGTGCTGCATGTCCACAAGATTTGCACTGCACCCAAGCTGCTGTGCCTGGTCAAGGCTTTTGAATCGAGTGAAGATCACATTTCTCCTCCACCCCACTCCACCACTACCTTCCCTCCCTACACCCAACCCACACCCCCCCCCAGACGGCGGGCAGCGTGATACATTTCTACGATGTGCGCACCACGCCCAAGCCGCTGCGCCTGGTGTCGCCAGACTCACCGCCCTCTCTGCTCGCCCTCAAGTTCCGCTCCTCCACGCGCGTTCCTCTCTTCGGGGACAACGTCTCCATGTACGCACCCCCTCCCCTTCCACCTCTCCCCCCCTCTCCCCCCCCTCCCCCTTCGGCCTCTGACACCCCCCCGCCCCCCCCCACACCCTCCCCCTCCCCCTTCCCCCCGTCACACTGCCATCTCTTGTGCTTCTCTCCTCCTCTCAAGTTCCGCTCCTCCACACATGTGCTGCTCTTCAGGAACACCGACTGCCTGTACGCCAGGCCCCCTCCGTTCCCAACATTCCATGGCATAGCAGCTGCGATTCGTTCATGCTCCCAGCACTACCTCTGCTGTCTCCTGTGCGCGCCTCACAACGCCATGCTTCCTTCCTTCCCTTTCCCTTCCCCCAACTCCCCTCGCCAAGGCCCAGCCCCCCTCCTTACCTTCCCAGTCCTCCTTCCTCCCCCTTCCCGCTCTGCACCCCCCCCACCCCCCTCCCCTCTTCCCTCCCCTCTGTGTACCCCCTTTCCCCTTCCCCCGTGCACCCCCTCACCTTCTGCTCCCCTCGTCCCGGGCAGCAACGGCATGGTAGCAGATGAGGATCACATTCTGCTGGGGCTGTCCAGTGGTCGCCTGCACCTCGTGTCCTGGCGCGGCCAGGTGAGACAGGGAGCCGGTTTTGAGTCGACTCAAAATGAGTCGAGTTTCGAGTCGACTCAAAATTCTGCTGGGGCTGTCCAGTGGTCGCCTGCACCTCGTGTCCTGGCGCGCCCAGGTGAGAGAGGGAACGGGTGGGCAGGTGGGGGGTGAGCGGAGGGAGAGATGAAAGTGAGGGGGGAGTGACGCAGCGAGGGGTGAGAGTGGAAAGTGACGAGGTGAGGGGAGGGAGGGGGTGAAGAGGTGAGGGAGGGGGAAAGTGAGGGCGGAAACTGAGGATCTCAATTTACAGCAGTGAATTTACAGCATGGCGCGACTGGGAGGTGTCTGGCCGCAATTTACATCATATGTTTTGCATTAATCCTCTCTGTACCCGCTCCTTCCCCCCACTCCCCTCCCTGCTCCATTTCACTACTCGCCTCACTTCCCTCCCGCCCCATTCCCCTCCCCGCTCCCCTCCCTGCTCCCCTCCTCGCTCCCCTCCCCAATCCCACTCTCTTCTTCCCCCTCTCCCCAGCTGCGGGGCACAGCAGACCTATGGCGCAAGCACAGCATTGAGGTGGTCGGCTCGGCCCTATGTACGTCCCAGAGGCCAACGGCCTCCCCAGCACGCCCCACTCGTGCCTCTCCCCCTCCCACTCCCCCAACCCCCCCTCCAAACCCCAGCTGCGGGGCACAGCAGACCTATGGCGCAAGCACAGCAGGGAGGTAGTCGGCCCTATGTACGTGCCAGAAGCCAACGGTCTCCCCAGCACGCCCCACTCGCCACGCTCCTCCCCGCTCGCCCCCTCCTCCTCCTACCCCTACCCCGCCTCCCCGCCCGCCCCCTCCGCCGCCCCCCCCGCCACCCCCAATGGCCGCACCAGCGGAGGAGCAGACCCAGGAGGAGTCGGGGGAGCAGGAGCAGGGGGAGCGGGAGGGGGAGCGGGAGCGGGAGGAGTGGGGGGAGCGGGGGGAGGGGTGGCGCAGATGGTGTATTCCCCCGCGCTGCGGCTGATAGCGGTGGTGCTGGTGGATGGGCGCGTGGTGCTGTGCTCTACAGGCGAGAGGGGGCTGAGGCCAGTGGAGGAGGTGACGCCTGAGAAGTGGGTGGGCGTGGTGGACGCTGCTACTGTGGCTGTCGGGGAGAGGCAGCAGCTGCTGGCCGTGGGTAGTAGACGTGGGACGGTTGAGCTGTTCGACCTTGCGAGGAGCTCTGCGCACCTGAGGACTGTGTCCTTGTTCGACTGGGGGTGAGTTGGTGGGGTTGGGGTTCAGTGGGGGTGATTGGGGATGAGTGGGTTTGAGTGAGGCCGAGAGGGGGCGAGAGGGGGCTGAGGCCCGTGGAGGAGGTGACGCCTGAGAAGTGGGTGGGCGTGGCGTGGTGGACGCTGCCACGGTGGCTGTGGGCGACAGGCAGCAGCTGCTGGCGGTGGGTAGGTGGTGGATAGTCGGCGGGGTACTGTGGAGCTTTTAGACCTCGCTAGGAGCTCTATTCATCTCAGGTCAGGACTGTGTCACTGTTTCACTGGGGGTGAGTGGGTGGGCGTGCAAGGGTGGGGATGAGTGGAGGTGAGCGGGCAGCAGCAGCCATCAGCCAGCGTGTGCTGCTGACCTGTTATAGGGAGCTGAGAGCAGCAGATGGGTTGGAAGCTAAGGGACCTGACACTGGTCTGATTTTGATTCGTTTCGCCGATCCATGCTCCTCCTTGTCTCCCTTTCCCATTCCTCCTTGTTTCCCTTTCCCTTTCCCCCCCCCCCCCCACCCCCCCCTGGGCCCCACCAGGTATTCACTGGAGGACACGGGGGCAGTGGCGTGCATATGCTGGTCGCCAGACAACCTGGCGTTCGCAGTGGGATGGAAACTGCGTGGGCTAGCCGTGTGGTCCGTGTCAGGCTGTCGCCTCATGTGCACCATTCGCCAGGGCTCCATGAGCCTCCTCCCCCCCTCCTCCTCCTCCTCCTCTTCCACCACCACCGCCGGTATCACCAGTCCCCGTAGCTCCGCCGCAGGCTCGGACCCAGCGTCCACGCCAGGCTCGGCAGCAGCCGGCGGGGCAGCAGGGTCGGCTACAGCCGCAGTGGTGAAGAGCAGTGAGCCAATGGTGGGGGGTGTGGCGGCTGTAGCGTGGGGGGAGGAGGGGTATCAGCTTGTAGCAGCGGAAGCAGGGATGGTGGGGGAGGTGGCGGCGGGGGTGAGGGGGCGGCAGGCGGGGAGGCTGGTGCAGTTTGCGTTTGCGCGGCAGTGCTCGAGTAAGGCGGTGGCGGGGAGCTCGCATGTGTGGCAGGCCATGGCTGGCGCGGACCGGGTGCTGCTGGTGCAGAGTAATGAGGAGGAAGAGTTAAGAGTGCAGCACCTTGTCATCCCGGTGAGTGTGTGGGCATTTGGGTGAGTGTGCATTGTGGTGAGTTTGCGTTTGCGCGGCAGTACTCGAGCAAGGCTGTGGCGGGGAGCTCGCACGTGTGGCAGGCGATGGCTGGGGCTGATCGGGTGCTGCTGGTGCAGAGCAATGAGGAGGAAGAGCTGAGGGCGTAACATCTGGTCATCCCGGTGAGTGTATGGGCTGGCATGTGCTGTCTGCCTCTTCGGGTGGGTGCTGCTGGTGCAGAGCAATGAGGAGGAGGAGCTGCGCGTGCAGCACCTGGTCATCCCGGTGAGTGTCCGTTGCGGTAGGGATGCATGGCCTGGGGGTGGGCATTCCGGTGAGTACCTGCCTGCTTTGACGAGTGGTTTAATTTCTCTCCCTCCTTCCCGCCTGCTCCCTCTTACCTCTCAGCAAACGTACATGGGGGTGAACTGGCCGGTGAGGCACGTGGCAGCGAGTGACGACGGGTCGTACCTGGCAGTGGCGGGGCGGCGGGGAGTCATTCTTCACAACCTGCGGTCCAACAAGTGGCGCGTGTTCGGGGACGTCATGCAGGAGCGCGCCGTCAAGTGCGAGGGGCTGCTGTGGGTCGGCAAGATCATCATCGTGTGCAACCACAGAGTTGCCTCGCACTCGTAAGGCCTCCCACCCATAACATAACACCCACACACACCCTTGCAGAGGCATAGATTTGGCCAATCCGGCCAATGCGGGGGGTTGCTGTGGGGGTGATGTGGGGATTGCTGCTGTGCTGCATGCGTGCAGTGTGAGGGGCTGCTGTGGGTCGGCAAGATCATCATCCTCCTCAAAAGCCTTCCTTCCCGCTCCTCCCCCTCCCTCGCCCACCCAGCTACGAGCTCTGTCTGTATCCGCGTTTCCACCTGGACGAGTCCTCGCTGCTGTGCCGTGCAGCCGCCTTTCAGGCGCTAATGCAACTGTTGTTAACAGAACTGAGACTGTCCTCTCCCTCCCTTTACCCTCATCCGTCCACCTTACGCCCTCCCCACTCCTCTTCCCCCTTCCCCCCAGCTACGAGCTCTGCCTCTATCCGCGGTTCCATCTGGACGAGTCCTCGCTGCTGTGCCGCCAGCCACTGCCAGCGCGGCCCATAGCACTGGATGCATGGGGCGACTACATCCTGGTGGTCTGTTCCCCTCTCCCCCCACTCCCTCCCCCCTGTTTCCCCTCTTCACCCCACCCTCCCAGCTACGAGCTCTGTCTGTATCCGCGCTTCCACCTGGACGAGTCCTCTCTGCTGTGCCGCCAGCCCCTGCCAGCGCGGCCTATAGCGCTGGACGCATGGGGCGACTACATCCTGGTCGCCACGCCCCCCTTTGACATCAAAGTGTTTCACATGCACGTGGACGGGGACGTGTCACCGCTGCACTTACCCACCGTGCAGGTCCGTTGAGGGTGTGTGGGTGTGCAGTGTTGCACTACGCACATGGGATAGGTGAGTGGGGCCCTCTAGCGCTGGATGCATGGGGCACTATATCCTCGTGGCCACGCCCCCCTTTGGCATCAAGGTCTTTCACATGCACGTCGATGGGGACGTGTCACCGCTGCATCTACCCACCATGCAGGTCTGCTGTGGGTGGGCAGCTGCATGTGTCCCTCTTTGGTCGGGGCGTGTGCGACTGACTATGCTGTTCAACCGATCTATCCTCATGCACACATGTTGTGCTTCGGTAGGCAACCCACAGTGTGTGTGTGGGCTACTTATCATGTCAGCGTGCAAGCCCCTTGCGTCCATCTGCATTGTCGCCTCCTCGCGAACCTTCCACTCCCCCCCACCTGCTGCCTTCTCACCCCCTCCCTCTTCCCCTCCCGTCCTCTCCTCCCCCCCACCAGCTGCGCACAGTGACAGAGCTTTCCATCATGTCAGCGCGCAAGCCCCTCGTGTCCATGCTTTGTCTCCCTCTCTCAAACCTTCCACTTGCTTCCTGCCTGCTGCCTCTTCCCCCCCTCCTTGCTCCCCCCTCCCTCCTTCCCCCCACCAGCTGCGCACAGTGAGAGAGCTTTCCATCATGTCAGCGCGCAAGCCCCTCGTGTCCATGCGCTTTGTGCCGCGCACAGGGGACGCAGACGCACAGGGGGACGCGGACAGGCCGGGGGAGGGCGCAGGGAACCCATCCCGAGAGGCGGAAGGCCAAGGCGCCACCACCAGCAGCAGCGAGCAGAGATTATCCAAGGAAGGGGCGCAGCAGGGGGCCGCCAGGAGGGGAGCAGCGGTGCAGGGGCGGGATACGGGGAAATCCGGCAAGGGCAGCATTGTTAAAGACCCTTTAGCGGAGGCAATGAGAAGACAGCCCACCAAGTGCATGCTGCTGCGCACGGATGGGGATCTGTCTCTTTTGGACCTGGACAGTGGCAGTGAGCGGGCGCTGGTGGCGGGGGTTGAGAACTTCTGGCTCACGCAGGGAGGGGATGAGGCTGCTGCTGCGCTGATCGAGGAGGTGCCCTGGTGGGCTTACGGCCACAGGGGAATGCAGGTGAGTGAGGTGCAGTGCAGTACGGTGCGGTGAGGTGTAGTGTAGTCTAGGGTGTGAGCCCACAGCCCGCAGCCCACCAAGTGCATGTTGCTGCGCACGGATGGGGATCTGTCTCTTTTGGACCTGGACAGTGGCAGTGAGCGGGCGCTGGTGGCGGGGGTTGAAAACTTCTGGCTGATTCAGGGAGGGGATGAGGCAGCTGCGGCACTGATCGAGGAGGTGCCCTGGTGGGCCTATGGCCACAGGGGAATGCAGGTGAGTGCAGTGCGGTGCGGTGCGGTGTAGAGTAGTCTAGTCTAGAGTATCAGCCCACAGCCCACCAAGTGCATGTTGCTGCGCACGGATGGGGATCTGTCGCTGCTAGACCTGGACAGTGGCAGTGAGAGGGCGCTGGTGGCGGGGGTTGAAAACTTCTGGTTGACTCAGGGGGGCGATGAGGCAGCAGCGGCCCTGATAGAGGAGGTGCCCTGGTGGGCGTATGGCCACAGGGGAATGCAGGTGAGTGGGTGCAGTGCGGTGCAGTGTGCTGGTGTGTGGTGTCGCATAGTCTAGGGTATCAGCCCGCAGCCCACCAAGTGCATGCTGTTGCGCACGGATGGGGATCTGTCTCTGCTGGACCTGGACAGTGGCAGTGAGCGGGCGCTGGTGGCGGGGGTTGAAAACTTCTGGCTCACGCAAGGTGGTGATGAGGCTGCTGCTGCGCTGATTGAGGAGGTGCCCTGGTGGGCTTATGGCCACAGAGGAATGCAGGTGAGTGCAGTGCGGTGCGGTGCGGTGTAGTGTAGTCTAGGGTGTGAGCCCACAGCCCACCAAGTGCATGCAGGTGGGTTCACTGCGGTGCACAGCAGCAGAGAGCCTGCGGTATCCCACGCATTTGCTTTTTGATTCAACTAAACATTGGCCTTCCCGTCACCCCCCTTCTCCCCCCCCAACTTCCTCCTCCCTTCCCATTTCAACAGGTGTGGTACCCTTCACTATACCACGATGCATCAGGCCAGCCAGCAGAGGTACAACAGCTGGACCCAGAGCTCGATTTTGATCGCGAGGTGTACCCACTGGGGGTGTCGCCGGCAGCGGGGGTGATCGTGGGTGTGAGCCAGCGCTTGTCGCTCTCCTCCTGTGCCGAGATGCCCTGCTTCGAGCCCACGCCCCAGGCACAACCGATTCTGCCCTGCCTGCTGCGGCACTTGCTGCAGGTACAGTGGTTAGAGTTGCTACTGGTAAGGCCGATGAAATGGTAAGACCACCCTGTGCTTGTTGCAGTTACAGGGTATAGCAGCAGGGTGATCGTGGGGGTTGCGCGCTGCAGCGCCTGCTGCAGGTAGTGGAGGTGGAGGTACACTCTCCCCCGTCCTCTCCCGCTCTCAATCTCCGCCTCCCTCCTTGATCACACCCAGCACATCATCTAGCTCTCCTGTTGGCAACATCCTTTCATTTCCCCCTGCTTTCCCCTTTACCTTTCTCCCCCGTCCACCCAGCGCAACAAGATGGAGGAGGCGGTGCAGCTAGCGCACCTGTCTGCCACGCGACCGCACTTCTCCCACTCCCTCGAGTGGCTGCTCTTCACCATCTTTGATGCTGAGACGTCCAGGTGGGTGCAGAGCTGTGTAGTGCGGTGCAGTGCAGTGCCAGTTGGATCAGGCGGGCAAGTTATGCACCTGTCAGCCACACGGCCACACTTCTCCCACTCCCTCGAGTGGCTGCTCTTCACTATCTTTGATGCCGAGACGTCCAGGTGGGTGCAGAGTGGTGCAGAGCGGTGCAGTGCGGTGCAATGAAATGCCAGTGGATTTAGGTGGGGCAGGTATGTACCTCTCAGCCACGCGGCCGCACTTCTCCCACTTCTGGCTTCTCTTCACCATCTTTGATGCCGAGACGTCCAGGTGAGTGCAGTGCGGTGCAGAGTGGTGTGTTATGGTGCAGTGCTATGCGATGTGGTTCTAGTGGGATGGTGTGTTTGGTGTACCTCTCTGCCACGCGGCCGCACATCTCCTCCCTCGAGTGGTTCCAGAGTGGGTGCAGAGTGGTGCAGTGCGGTGCTAGTGGGATCAGGTTGTGCAGTTACACCTGTTAAACCATTCGTTGTCCAGTGGTTCTTATATTCCTTCTTCTTCCTTTACCGCCTTCTGATTTTCTGGCTCTCCGAAACCCCCCACCCCTTCCTCGTCAACCCCCTTCTCCCTCCTTCCCTACCCTTTCCCCTCAACAGCGCGAGCGCACGGCGACGGCGCAAGGAGGGGAAGAAGGGGCCAAGTCTGCTGGACTGTGCGTGCAAGCTGATCCGGCATTTCGGGGAGTACCGAGATGTGGTGGTGAGCGTGGCTTGCTAAGAAGGCGAGGAAGGGGCGAGTCGGCCTTCAACGCGCCTCAAATATCCTCTCTAATACTCTCCTCCCTCCCCCTTTCACGCTTTCCCCCTCAGCGCGAGCGCACGGAGGCGGCGCAAGGAGGGGAAGAAGGGGCCGAGTCTGCTGGACCGGGCGTGTGAGCTGATCCGGCACTTTGGGGAGTACCGAGATGTGGTGGTGAGCGTTGCCCGCAAGACCGACAGCCGCCACTGGCCTGACCTCTTTGCCTCTGCTGGCAATTCCAACACGTGAGGCCCGGGGGTTCAATCGTTTGGGGGGGCGATGATGGGAGTAAAGAGAAGGTGGGGTGCGAGGTGAGGCGGTGCGTTGGGGAGTACCGACATGTGGTGGTGAGCGTGGCGCGCAAGACTGACAGCCGCCACTGGCCCGACCTCTGTGCATCTGCAGGCAACTCGAACACGTGAGGCTCGGGGTTCTAACGCATGAGAGGGGGCTTGGGGCTTTGGGCATGTGGTAGGCTTGGGGAATCTGAACACACGTTAGTGGGGTCGGGGAATCAAACACTGTGGAACTTTGGAACAATCAAGCTCTGGGGGATAAGTAAAAATCGGGGAATGATGGGAGGAAACAAAGGGTGGTTGTGAGTCGATTTGACATGCTTTTTGGCATGATTCATGGCCATGATAACCTTTCCTGTTCGCCGTGATTCATTGCAGATTGTGCTCGTTCCGGTTCCCTGCACTTCGTCCCCTGCTTTCTTTTCCCTGCACTTTGTGTGTGGCACTATCACTGCTTTCTTTCCCCTGCACTGCACTGCATGCACATGATAGGCTCTTTGAGGAGTGTTTCGAGAACAAGCAATATCGCACCGCCACGTGCTACATCCTGGTACGTGCGCATGCCATGCCTTCGCTTGCACGTCCTTGCCGTTGGTACTGTCTCCTTCTGTGCGTCATCAATGGGTGGTGATGAATTTCCAAGGCCTAACAATCAGCCAATCAAGTACCCTTCTCACCTCCTTGTTTCCTTCTGCTTCTCCCATTTACTATGCTCCTCCCTGGCGCCTCTCTCGTTCCCCCCATCAGGTGGTGGAGAAACTAGAAGGCCCAACAATCGGTCAGCAAAGTGCCCTGCGGCTCTTGCAGGTTCGGCCCTTCCCGCGCTTGCTTGCCCCCCCCCTCGCCTGCTTGCGCTTCCTCTCCTTGCCCTTCCCACTCTGCGTGTCCTCTCATCCCTGCAAAGTTCCTTTCCTGTGGGAGTTTTGTCGGTAGTGCAGTTGCAGCTGTCTGGCGCCCTCCTTGCTGACTCACAGCTTGTAGTGTGTGTGTGTGTGTGTGTGTGTGTGTGTGTGTGTGTGCGCGTGTGTGTGTGTGTGCGTGTGCGTGTGTGTGTGTGTGTGTGTGTGTGTGTGTCTGTGTGTGTGTGTGTGTGTGTGTGTGTGTGAGTGTGCGTGTGTGTGTGTTGGTGTGTGTGTGCGTGTGTGTGCATGTGTGTATACGTTCATGCATCCTTAACTCCACAGGTGGCATTGCAAGAGTCTATGTACGACTTGGCAGGCGAGCTGGTAAGCCCACAATTACATGCATGCTGTGTGCATGTGTGACTAGCATTGTGTGCATTGCATATGTCCATGCAGTGCAGGTATATGCGTGCATACATATCATATGTACAGGTGGCATTGCAAGTGTCTATGTACGACCTGGCAGGCGAGCTGGTAAGCCCACTTAACGTGCATTTCTGCTTCCTGCTCACAACCCCCACCTCTCCCCCCTCCTCCTTCCTCCTTTCCCTCCGTGTTTTCCAACCCTCCCCTCTATCTGCTAGCCTGTGACACTATTCTGAGAGGGTTGGAGAATTTAGCATTTCTGCGTTCTGCTCAGCACTCCCCCACCTCTCCCCCCTTCCTCCTTCCCCCCTTTCCTCCCTCCGTGTTTTCCAACCCTCCCCTCTTTTTGGTGGCCTTCAACACAATTTTGATGCCTTTGCTGCATCCTTTTGAGTGTCTTTTCTGCGTGTCCTGTGTTTCGTGTCCCGGTTTCCCCTTGCTTCATTCTGAATGGCAGGTGCGCTTCCTGCTGAGGTCGGGGAGGGAGTACAGCCAAGCAGAGCAGGAAGACGAGAGGGCGAGCGAGAGTCTGCTAAAGAGCTTCTTCTCCTTCGGCTTCACCTCCACGTGAGTCCTCCCCTCGCTGCTCGCACTTGAGTTCCCCCCTCCTCCGGCATACCAGCCCTGCTCCCGTTCAGATTCACATCACATCCACGCGAGTGCCCATCCGCTGTTCCACATCGTCAGCTCCCCCCACCTCCTGTCCTGTCTGCCTGCCCCACATGACTCCTCCATCCTCCCCTGCCTTCCTCACATAACCGCCCGTCATCCCCACCCTCCGTCCGCCCCTCTACCCCTCCTTTTTGAAACAGAGCCCCCAAGGCGCGGGGGGACGTGCTACACACGGACGGTGAAGCACATACTGGGGGAGAAGGCCACTGCTCTCATGAGCAGCAAGGAGCTCCGGCAGCTCGTGGCGATTCCACCCTGCCCTCACGTCTCAGTTTGCTTCCCCTTCCCTTTCCCCTCCCCTTCTGACACAGAGCCCCCAAGGCGAGAGGGGATGTGTTGCACACGACAGTGAAGCACATACTGGGCGAGAAGGCAATGGCACACCCTTTTGAACCCACCTTTCTTCCTTCTTCCCTCCTCCCCCATCCTTCTCTGGATCAGAGCCCCCAAGGCGAGAGGTGATGTGTTGCACACGACAGTGAAGCACATTCTGGGGGAGAAGGCAACGGCACTCATGAGCAGCAAGGAGCTCCGGCAGCTCGTGGCATTCGTTAAAGGCACCCAGTTTGACTTCACTGTAAGGGGTGTGATGTATTCTATATGTCTATCTATCTATACTTCACTGGTTATTTCTCTGCCATACCCTGCCATTCACCAGCACACGCACCAACATCACATGTAACCAATGTATTCCCCATGTAACAAAGTATTCCCCATGTAACCCATGTATTCCCCATGTAACAAAGTATTCCCCATGTAACCCATGTATTCCCCATGTAACAAAGTATTCCCCATGTAACCCATGTATTCCCCATGTAACAAAGTTTTCCCCATGTAACCAATGTATTCCCCATGTAACAAAGTATTCCCCATGTAACCAATGTATTCCCCATGTAACAAAGTATTCCCCATGTAACCCATGTATTCCCCATGTAACAAAGTATTCCCCATGTAACCCATGTATTCCCCATGTAACAAAGTATTCCCCATGTAACCCATGTATTCCCCATGTCGCGGCCCTACCAGGAGTTTCTGCGGTCGGATCGAGGCAGGTCCATTCGCCTTGAAGACTTCCCCACTGCCCTTCGCACCATCCGCTACAAGGTACAGTCGTTGCAGCAGCAGAGTTAGGGAAGAGGTTAGGGGAGGGCCAACGGGGAGGGAGGGGAACGGGCGGATTGTGGCGGGTCCATTCGCCTAGAGGACTTCCCCACTGCCCTTCGCACCATTCGTTACAAGGTAGGACTCGTTTTTGCAGCAGCAGAAGTAGGGAAGAGGTTGGGGAGGGCCAAGGGGGAGGGACGGGGGCGGTTGGTTCGTGGCAGGTCCATTCGCCTAGAGGACTTCCCCACTGCCCTGCGCACCATCCGCTGCAAGGTAGGAATTCGTCAAGGCTAGGAAATGTATTTGAATTCGTTTGACTCCCTTTGTATCTGTACAAGGTAGGAATCGTTGTTGCAACATAGGTGGTGAGAGGACGGGGGAGGGGTGAGAAGAAGAGGGGCGAGAGGGGATGGGGCGAGTGGAGGAGGGGCGAGAGGGGATGAGGCATGTAAGTTTCTACTCTGCTGATCATACACGTGAAGTTATATCTTGCCATTTTTATTCGGCTATTGTATAATTTGTTAGGAGGAAGTCGGGAGGGAAGGAATTCGTTTGTGCAACTTGCAGCTTAAGCAGTACAGTGAATGGTTTATGTCTGCCTGTTACGATTCTGTCAATGTGGCACCATTCCTATTTAGTGTGCACTCCTTCAATGTCCCCTCTCCCCTCTTCATTCTCCCTCGTCCCTCTCGCTTCCCTTCTCAGATCGCTCTAGAGGGCAATCTACAGAGCAGGCTGGATGCAGAGTTCCTATTGGCCCACGTGCGCACTGTGGGCTTCCATGAGTGGACCGTCGTGCTCGCCACGCTGCTGCAGCGCTCCGAGGTGAGATAGAGTTTGAGGATAAAGGTCAATTGTTGTGCATGAGAAAGCTGTTCCTATTGGCCCACGTGCGCACCGTGGGCTTCCATGAGTGGACTGTCGTGCTCGCCACGCTGCTGCAGCGATCCGAAGTGAGACGAGGGTGGATGGTAGTGTGTGGAAATGGTGGGTATAAGCAGCACCGAACCCTCTTTGAACTGTCGCGGGCTTCCATGAGTGGACCGTTGTGAAGGGCTGTTGTAAGTGCGGCCCGCTTAACCTGTGAAGTCAGACGGCAGGGTGCTTTAGGTGAATTGCGCTCATGTGTGTGGAAGGTAAATTGCTGATGCATGCCTTGCTGATTCACCAGACCTGTGTGGAGGACGCTACTTGCATTGAACTCTTTCCAGATGCCGTGTTTCGGACGATAGCTATTGTTGTTTCCTCCTGTGTCCTTTCTACGTGTACCCTCAGGTGCTGGCAGAGCTATTTCAGAACGACATGAAGCTGTGGACCGCCTATGTGAGAGCTCTCAAGGTATGTGCAGCAGCTGGTGCAAGTTTGTGTTGTGCTTTTATTCCCTTTTCCACAATCATTCGCACATTGTTACAGTTGTGCATACGGAACCAGGTTAGTTAGAAATTTCCCCATACGGTACTCCCTTCTGGCTGTCCCAAAACCAGGCACACTTTTTTGCATTGTGCTTGACTGGAGCAGCATTATGGTCGGCTGCTGGGGGTTTTCTGAGGTCTATCAGTCCAGCTCACCTGTGTCCGGGCTTCCCTGCTTTCTCCCCGCTTTCCCTGCTTGTTCTCTGCTTGTTTGTCTGTTTTTTCTTGCAGGCACAACCAAATGCATCACAATATGACGAGCTTCTGGCAGCGGTTGAGAGAGACCTAACAGCCCATTTGGGTCCTGATAATCCCGCTATATCGTCTTATAGCCTCGCTTTGGGTCATGCCACCTCTGCTCCAGCTAGGTGATTTTGTGCCGAGGGAGTATATATTGCACCGGTAGGTAGGGAAGCCAATGCTGATTACATCTATTATATTCTACAGGAGCAGGGTCATATGCTGCTAAGCTCATAGATTGCACAATAAATCCATGTATTGCCATCCAGGAAAGATATTTACAAAAATATCAGAAATGTAGCTAGGCTTGTGCGGGGGCATTCGTTCGTGCCATGTTTGTCTGAATTTCGCACGTTGCTTCGTTTCTTTATTGCATGCACTTGTGTACAGAACGCAATTCGCCTGATGGTTTGCTGAAACGACCTGGAGCTGCGCACGCGCAGCCAGCTAAGCTCACAATCGAACCTTCCCGAATCTTGAAACGACATGATGCGATGCAGCCGCGCCCTAGTGTATCCAGAAACGACAATGCGCTCATCCCAAACCCGCCAATCAGTGCTCTGCTTCACATTTCGCAGCCTTGCGGAGAATGGGTCACTTGACACTGCACTCAGTACTTCACGTGCAGTTTGAGCTGGTTCGCCCTTCCTATCAGGAAAAAAGACCTGAACTCATCATCATTCGAGCATTTTTATTCCAACTGTTTTTACCGTACAAGCAGAATGCACAAGAAACTCAAGTTGCGGTGCGGTGGTGGGTTCATGTACAGTTTTTGAGACCATTTCTCGTGTTCACTGCCCAGCCCAAAGCCAGCCAGCCCACTGCCCAAGCAAGCTCGCGTGGTGCACAGTAGCACACTCTATTCACGACCACCGCACCGCACCACATCGCATCGCAAGCTGGAGCGCCTGAGGCAGGCCTACCCGCCCGGCAAGGACCCGCGGCCGCGGCCACTCGCTCACTCCACCGACACTCTCAGCTCGAGCTCCATTATTACGCAGGACAGCAACATGCACATTGCTGGCGAGCATGGATGGAATCTGCTCCGCAACATCACAAAAGCAAGTGAACCGATGATTGAAGGGACGGGGGTGGAATTCACTTCGCTGCTGCAACGGAAGGGGCGCATGGATGAAGAAAGCTGCAACCAGAATGCATTTTAAAACCCGAACCAAACGCCACCTTGGAGAGCACGCCCTCTGCCCGACGGATCAAACCAGCTCCCCCTACAATCCCTTTTTAACCCCCCAGAAACAATGGCCGGGTTTGGCAGGCATTATGGCCATTATGGCCATAATGGGAATTTTTAACGGGCCCCCAAAAAATGCCGCCTGGGAATTCACGAAACAGCTTCGAAGTCAAATCGTAGCTGCAGAGCCAATTCGGAAAAAAAGGGGTTGAGTGTTTGGTTGGCATTATTTGGGTGTGGATTGATGGCATCAATCGACATTTAGGGTTTCGCAGAAGATGGGAGGCAGTTGCTATGATCGATCGCGTGATCATGTGATTGGCTGGCATATTTGACCAGTCACTTTCAATTGCCCAGAATCACTGATACCCCGCATAGTGCGGGGCCCCGCATGGTGCGGGGGATCGGAAAATGGGCACTTTGCCAGAGAAAATGGGTTGGGTGTAGATTCCGGTTGAAAACGCCTCCAAAAAAAGGGGTGTTTGGTTGGCATTCCATTATTGTTAGGTTCGGCGTAGTCCGCTTATATCGAGCCTTAATAGCCTTTCACGCGCTTATCAGAGAAGGTTCCAGGGTGGTAGGTTCACTGTAGCCCATCCCCCTCGCCCCCTTTTTTGATGCCTGCCAAACCCGGCCCATGTTTCGAACATTTAGCCCGCGGTTACGCAGCTCACAGCAGCAGCTCCCCACCAAGCAACAGCAATGCGCCTGCCTTAGATTCTAGCAAGGACTTTTTCCAACTAAATGTGTCGGTAATTTTCACTACCGAACGTGCGTCGCTAGACACTTCACGTGCTGCGATGACTAACGAGCCAGGCGATCGGTCCTTTCATCCACATTCAAGCTCTGAGACATCCCTAAACTCGCAAGGAAATGGTGGGTCCGCTCAAGCAAACGCCAAGCCTTCGCGGTCGCAATCCCTTGAACCCGCACCTCAGCAGCAGCTTCGAGAAGAAAATATCCGTCAGGCGCTCGTTCTGGAGGTATTGCGCCGTCGCGCTTTTAAAAGCCACCCGCTTGAGCATGGCGGCGCCGCCCTTGCTTCTGCTTCCAAGAGCACTAGTAAAGTCCAGTCCCGCGCTTCGCTACCTAACGCAACGCAAGCGCTGAGAGAAGCGGGCGCTATTGACGCCGCAACAGCCGCTGGACGACATTCTGACGCCGCAAACTCGACTGGTCGACTCCGCCAGCTGAACCAGCTTTCGCCTGCGGAAAGGTTTCAAGTGGACGTCTCTCGTCGTTCCCCCCCGCAACCGCCGCAACTCCCCCAGCAGATACCGCTGCAGCCTCCGTTGCAGCTACCGTTGCAACCAGCACACGAAAGCACAGCGCCGCTGCTACTGACGCGCCATCGCGCGGCGGCGAGATTGGCTCAATCTTCCCCGCTTTCGGTGGGTTTGACATCCAAAGCACCTTTATTCTCCACGCGACAACGTTCTTCCCCCCCATCGCCCGTTCCGAACGACACTGCCACCGCCATTGTCGCTGCTACTTCCGCTCCTGCTCCTCCCAGCGACAGTGCTACTGTCGCAGCTGCAACAGACGCGTCGCTGGTTTCACCATCAGCACTCTCAGCTCGTTTCCGCGGCATTTTCTACCCTCCAACATCGCAACCTAAAAAAACCACCGCTACCACCCTCTTCAGTGGCCGTATCGTGGACTCCACTGGCATTATCGCTCGGCCTCAGAACCTCCTAACCGTCGAGCACCGGGGCGACCCTGGTCCATCCTCGTTATTGATAACCCCGCGTTCACTTGACGCAGCATCGGCCTCTCTGTCGCATTCCAGCCATCTCTCTCTCTCACCCACCAGCAGCCTCAGCACAACTAGTACCACGCTCCCCGCCGTGATTGGCGGTGGACTAAACCCGGCGCTATACCCTCGAACAACTGCTGCTGACCTTGAACCAGGCGTTCCCCTACCTAACATTCCCCTCGAACTCCCCCCTCCCGACACTTCCCCCCTTGACCATCCCGGTGCCGCCGGCTCAGCGGGGAGACCCACTGCCGTCGGCACGTCAGTGGCGGAAGGGGGGGGAATGCAGTGGTAGGGCGGAGCGAGGCGGAAGAAAGGGAGGCGATGTGGCGGCTGTGCGCGGAAGAGATGGCGCATCTGAAAGCGCTGCTGCTGGGCGACGGCGGCGGCGGAACGCAAAGCGCGCCGCTGGAGCAGCGCGCCGAGCACGATGGCTCGCAGGGGACCGATTCGCGCAGCAACGGCGGCCCGCACACCCCCCACATGGCTGGGCTGTTCTCAGGAGCCGCTACGGTTCAGGAAAACCTGGACCAGACATCCGCACTACAAGCTACCCCACTGCAGCAGCAGCAGGAGGAAGGGCAAGGGCCTCCTCAGGCGAACGACCCCTATCGGTTGTACCTGCTGGCAGAGATCCGGAAAGCGCGCGCGGCCATGCTTTCTCGTGGTGCTACTACGGATCCTCTCGGGCACCTGCAACAGCAACGCACGGGATCACCCGCTGATCCAACGGCCAACTTCAATCGCCCTGGGGCTGCGGCCCCTGAAAAGGTTAAGGATACCACGGCGGGGGACACAGCGCGCTTCCACGTGGGAGGCGGAGGCGGGGGCGGGCGGAGCGCGATGGTTGTATCCGCGATGCTGACGCCCCTGGGAATCGTCGCGCTCTCACCGCAAGCACGCGCCAATGCCGCTGTCCGTCCGCCAGAATCTCGCTTGAGGAGCGTTGGGATGAGCGAGGAGGTGGCGGCGAGGGTAGCAACGGAAGTGGCGAGGGGAGCGACGAAAACGGCGAGGGAAGCCGAGGAGCGTGAACTGCGGGAGATTTGCAGTGCGCTGTTCTCCGCGGGAGCGCGGGAAGCGGATTTGTTCTTACAGGGTGCGCTGGATGGGGCTGGTGGGAAGGGCGTGGTCGGCAGCAGCTCAGGCTGGAACACGTCAAGGGACGCCGCACTCCCGCCGCAGCACGCAACTCCGCAGCACAAGCTTCTCCGCGACCAAGGCCCACTGCAGAAGACGATGACCACCGAGCAGGAGATAATCAAGACGATGCCATTCCAAGACGTGTTAGCGGCAGCGGCAACTCAAGCAACGGCTCTGGAGGCCCCGCAAGGTGCGGCGCTGACCCCGCAGGAGATGATGCTGTTACGAGACGTGCTGGCAGCACCACCTCAAGGTCACGAGGCTGCGAGGTGGATAGCTGAGAAATCACCCCTCGCCACGCAGCCGTCGATGGTCAACGCGGAATCCTCAATGGAAGGATACAAGCGGCAGCCGCAGCGCAGCTGCGGCATGGCATGGGAGCGAGATTTTTTTACGGGAAACACAGGGAATGCGGAGCGAGGCGCCGTCCATCACACCGTCGCGCAGCTTGGAGCCGTGGTGGCTGGGTCGTCTGGCTACGGACTCGCAGCAGCCGCGGAAACTGCAGCAGCAGGCGCAGCTGCCGCAGCAGCAGGCACTCAGCTCTCCTTCAACCCATATAGCAGCAGCAGAGGTGGCGGCGTTGCTGGTGGCGTTGCTGCTAGAGCCTCGGCACGGTGGCCTCGTACCACTGCAGTTGGCGCGAGCGGTCCCACCGTGACCGCCGTTGGTGTTTCTAGTGTCGGTGCTGCTTGTATCGGTGCGAGTGGGGGCAGCGCTGCAGCGCTGCTCCCTGAGATGCGGCCTAAGATGGACGCGTCGCTACCGTCGCCCGCCACTGTCGACCGTGCAAGTGTCGAGTCTTGCAGAGTGCCGGTACCCGTGCCGGCAGTAACCTCTGCGCTAGAGGAACAGAACATGCCATACTACCGTCCTGATTCGTCACAGGAATTTGGGGGGGGACGGGGAATCAGTGAGGCAGGGGCCGTGCCGCTCTGGGCAGGAGCGCAGGCAGTGTGGAACTCGAGGGAAATGGATCCAATTCGCTCTCAAGGCTTTCCTGGATTCCCTCCCCCGCCGGCCGCGCCGGCGTGGGATGGGTTGCGCTGTCTGGTGTGCGGTACGGCGCTAAGCGTGGAGAATACGAAGGCGGCCAGAGAGTTAGCCAACCACGTGAGGCCTCAGAAGGATCCGGGGATTGGATTGCGCGTCCACGGGTGTAACACCTGCCTTAGACTGCTGGTTCCCTCGTACTTTCGGAGGTTGGAGACGGAAAAGGCTCAGGACTCAGTTACTGATGTTGGTTCGCGAAGAGTCCAAGGAAGCGGTAATGGGACGGGAGATGCGAATGATGGAGACGCTGCTGTCGGAGAGACGCGAGAGGACCTGCACCAGGAGGCTGTTGGAGCCGCAGCAGAGGAGGCTACACAGTGGAAGGAAGCGGTGAGAGCACGAAATAGAGGCAACCCGCAGCATGAGGATACGCAACACAGACGCGACGTGCAGTCATCACAAATGGAAAATGTTTCAGAAATTGGAGACGATTGGAACATTGCGCCTCGGTGTCCCCATTCTCACTCTCTGAAATGCGACGTGCATGCGACTCGGCTTAGCGACGGAAAATGTGAAAACGCGCAAGGGCATTCGCTGTTGTCGCCTGCTTCTGGACTTCGTCGTCTGCGAGAGTCGCCTGATACAGTGAGGTCACAGGACGCTGAGGAGGTTGCTTGGTCAGAATTGAAACGACAGCGTACACAGTGACCACGATCATTGGCGACAATGTAGCGAGCCTTTCCCAAATGGTAACAGCCTTGTGTAATTTGAATTTTTGAATGTGATGACTCTTGCGATATTCGCATTGTTCTGCCGAAGTTGCTCACGGTTACAGTTTCGAACTTCGTTGCCCTACCAAAACAACAAGAGAGCCACCTCCATCCATATCGCCCACAACTCCCCGCCCCAAGCGATGCTGTGTACTTCGGAGCGGTTGTCAACATCACCGCTTCTAACCGCCACTAACCTTTTGGAGTTGTGATACGAGAATTGTGAACCTCCTCACAAAAGTCACTCCATCCCCAGTTTCCTCAACCTGCTTCTCCGGGCTAGGGTTTCTGACATCCTCACATCAGCTTGTGGTTTTCAGTTCACTAGCTACTCGCTTGGTCGGCTTCATCTCTCTTCCTAGCCTGCGATTCAATCATCCATGTCGCGACCATACAGTCCCGACCGCGGTTACAGCCCGGAGCCTCGTCGCGGGCCTAGCGGACGCGGTCCCCCGCCTGACAGAGACAGGAGCCGCAGTCCCCCGCCGTACAGGCGCGGGCCTCCACCACGAAAAGAGCGTGTTAGTCTGCTCGTTAGGAACATTCCGAGAGATACCAGGTAAATATTTGAATTTCTGTGTCCATTGGCTGTGTAATACGTTTCCTTGGGATTGGAATTGATGTTGACATTTGTGGGTTCAATTTTTCAGGCCAGAGGAGCTGCGTGTTCCTTTTGAGCGATACGGCCCGATTAAGGATGTCTACCTTCCGAAGGACTATCATACAGGGTGTGTTGGTATTTCCATAACCCATTTGTTGTGGTCCTGTTGCGAATTTCATGATCAATGTTCGCGTGAGTTGAACCACCATAGAAAGCTTATGCTGGTTGCCTCGCTGTTCACACTTCAGCTTTTTCGGGTATTTGGGAATTACGGCAGGGAAGGGAAGAGGCATTTTGTTGATTGGTCAAGCTTTCAAGTCTCTGAAGTTTCGAGGCTGGAAAGATGAGCTTGAAGCGAAGTGAAGCCAAGCGAAGCGAAGTTACGAAGTTGCCAGAAATCTTGCTGTTTGACGAGGGATTTGACGAGAAACCTAAAAAGGCACTGGAAGAAACGAGAGGCTTGCACAACAGAAGTGACTGGAAGGGACAAGTTACAAGCTATGAAGAGCGATCTGTTCATCTCTTGGCGATTCATGGCCAGTCAAGCTTGACTCAAGGACGCCAGAGGCAGGTTACATGTCACGGTCTGACATGTCAGGTCGGTCGTTGTCGTGTTAACCGTAATAGATTTCCTTTTTTTTCCTACATTACCCAGCAGACTATTCCTCTCTTTTTCTCCGATTCTCACTTTCTGTCCGTCTTCGTTTTCCCCGATCTTAATTGTATTATGCCATGTGCTGTTTGCAGAAGCAGTAGATGTGCCATGTGCATTGAATCTGTCGTATCATAAAGGTCGCTGACATCGTTCCCGTTGCTTCCGTCCCTCGTCTTCTTTCTTTGACTGTCGCAGGGAACCACGTGGATTCGGATTCGTGCAGGTAATGTACCTTATCCAGCCTCCTATCGTCTCTGTCTATGAATGTGTCTTAGTTTTCCTATTTTTCCTGTCTTCTCCAATGATGTTACTCTTTTTGGTGGTGCGCTTTCGCAACCCGGTAACCAGTTCGTGAACATGGCGGATGCGGAGGACGCCCAGTACGAGCTGGATCGGACCAACTTCAACGGCAGGGAGATCACGGTGGTCTTCGCAGAGGAAAATCGCAAGAAGCCTGAGGAGATGCGCACCCGGGAGCGATACAGGTCTGTTTGCCGTGTGGACCAATCGAGGAAGTTCCAATTCGCGATACGAACTTCTACTGTGTTTTTAGAGAGGGATTCGAATGGGTTGCTAAGTACGAGTCTTTTTATTTCTTACAAGAGATCTCTTTGGTGGTTTGTTTATCTCATCTTTTCCGTCAAACCTGCGTTTGCTTGCTGCAATTGCTTGATTGCACTCCATTGCATCTATCTATCTAATTCTGTTCTTTTCATGTGTGTGTGCGTGCGTGTGTGTTGGTGTGTGCGTGTGTGGGTGCCTATGGGTTGTGTGGGTTTCCTTTCTAGTTCTAGGGACCGTCCATCCTTCGGGAGGCGCCGAGGCTATTGTGAGTATTAATTGACAGGCCTGTATTGCATCGTTCGCGTCGCGCACGTTCTGCATGGATATTGCAACCGAACACTATGCTTGCTGCATCTTTTGTTAAATCATCTTCAAGCTCTCATTGTCTGTCATCCCCCCCGCTTCCTGACCTCCCGCTCTCCATCTCCTCCAACCCCTACTACTTCCGCTGTATTCGCTCCTCTTCCATTGTTGCGCCCCTTTTCCCCATCAGTTGCATATATCTCCTTTTCTTCGCCCACCACCTTTTTTGTGCCTGACCCCCTTCGTCCTTTCCCCCCTGCACATCTCTCCCCTCCCATCAGCGCGCTCGCGCTCGCGCTCTCCGCCAGGCCGACGATCCTTCTCGCCGCCTCCCCGCCGCCGCTCCCGCTCCCCTCCCCCCCGACGCAGTGGCCCTCCGCGCAGGTAGGTCCTGGTCCCACATATAAGCAGTTTATTGTCGCAGCCGCTCCTCCATCATTTGCTTGCTTCCTTTCCATTCTATCATAATGCTGGGTTCGTCCATATCTCCTTCCGTATGGTGCCTTGTTACTCGTTCATCTCATCAGTGCTCCCTCCTCCCCTGTTTCTCCCGCATCCTCACCCCCACGCCCTCAGGTCTCCCAGCTATTCCAATGACGACCGAAGTTACAGCCGCTCGCCCTCCCCCCGTGGGCGCGGCCGCGGCCGCTCCCCTCCCCCACCTCGCAACGGCAACGCTGATGCTCCACCTAGGCAGGTGGTTTAAGATTATCCTAACACCCCCGTCTCACGAGTTTTGAGGCAACCCAAAACTCTGGCGCTCTGCGTAGGCAAGTTGTTTGAGACAATTCCAACACCCCCTTCCTGCATGACAACTGCTGGCTCACAGTGTTGGTATTTATGCTGATGGGAGCATTTCCGGTGTCTTTCGAAAAATAGCCTGTAATTCTTCTGGTGTGTTGCATTTTTTACTTGCTCCCTTGGTGCATTCTTTTTCAGGGGTCGGAGTGGTAGTGCAGGTGGAGGTGCAGCAGGTGGTGAAGGTGGACCTAGCAGACCATAGAGTAGGAGTGCTGAGGTGAGTGGCTGTGCAGTATAAAAATAGTGGACTAGACTCTATGTTGATGGTGGGTTTGGTTGCCACAGTTCTGCGCGCTTATTTCTGTTTCTGAATTCTGTATTTGGTCAGGCTGGCATGGTTAGTAGTCAACTCAGTGCTGATACTCTAGAGCGATTCAATGAAACCACCTTGTAATAGAAATACGGTACCGGAGCCTTCAAAACAGCTGAACTAGCAGGCTTGTGTTGGCATCACTGAATGAGCGCAGCCCTGCTGGCTTGACCAGCATACGACACAGAGGGCAGGTGCGCTCCCTTTCAAACCTGCCATGGGTGGGTATACAAATGGCAACCTAGTGTTAGTCTACACATATGGTAAGTGGAGCACTAGTACCAGTATAATCACAACATGGAAACTGGTAGAACAGGAGATTCACACATTGCCTAACCACAAACTCATCAATTACGCTACCACTCAAGCATACAAGTGCTGCTTACCACTTGCGGTAACCATTTGATTGTAACGTACCACTCAGTAAGCAGTAATTGTAACTTACCACTCAGAGACGCATTCGTCGCAGAACACGTGGCGGCACCGCAGCGTGACAGGCCCAGTCATGTGCTCCTGGCAGATGGCACACATGTTGCCGGCTGCTGCTACCTGGTGCAGCAACAAGGGGGAGAGAGAAAGGTGCAAGAATGCACATTTTCGAACCAACGGTTGTCAGCTCAGGATAAGCATGAATTGACAGGAGTAGATTGGGGGGTGATAAGGGGGCAGGAAAGAAGGTTGTGGAGCTTGTGGCTCTGCTTGTTTCAACCAATGCGACATAATGAGCTAATAGTGGTGCAAGTCAGGGATACGGTGGCCTGCAGTCAGAACCAGTCCTGCCAGGCAAACTCGACACCTCGCGAGCCAAAGGATTTTCAGAAGATCTCTCTGATAAACCTATGGAATCTGTCTCTACCTTGTCATTTCTCAGTTCCCCATGGATTACTTTCGTTCAACAAAACCCTTACCATCTTCGGTGCCTGGGTGCAACTAGTTACTCTGTTCACTCACTCAGTGCCGTATCGCTCTGCAGTCTCTCTGCCTGGCAGCACAGCCCACATGGCTATTCTCCCCCTCACTTAGCATGGCCATGTAAACTGACTTTTGAGTCGACTCAAAAGTCAGAGCCCACAAGGCCGTTCCTCCCCTCACTTAGCATGGCCATGTGGACTCAGCTGCAGTCATACACACCTCGTTAACTCTGGCCGCAGTGCCATACTCCTTTTGAAAACCTTTTCCTTCACTAGAAGGCATACCTCGTCAGGCGTGGCCTCGGTCCCATACTGCTCGCCTTTCCCCACCGCTTGGCGAACAGCTGACACAAAGAGAAGCACCTGGCACACGAAGGGAGGGTTGAATCCCGTTATCAATTCACACAAAAAAACCCCACAGTTTTCGGTATAGTGAAGACAAAGAGACGGGAGCGAGCATGGTTATAAGATACACAAGGGGAGTGACGAAGCGGGACCTTCATCTACCAAGCATTGCATGAGGAATTGATGAGCAACACCCAATGGAGGAGACAAATAAAAAGAACTTTCGTACAAGTGACAACAAAATACCCTCGCAGGTTTTTTGAGCAGCATACCCTATCGAGCGAGGTGGAGAGCTTGAATGCGAGGTAGAGCCCAGCAGTGAGGGAGGCGGTGAGGCGGCCATACGCCTGGTCGTTGAGAAAGAACTGGAACCACACGGGTGCCGGCACAAAGGCGCGATAGAGGAGCGATGTGTACTCCACTAGGGTTAGGATCTGTGCCTGGTGGGAGAGAGGAAGGGTGGGTGGGAGGGACGGAGGGAGAGGAGGGAATGAACAGGCTGGCACAGACTGGAACCACACGGGTGCCGAGACAAAGGCACGGAAGAGGAGTGACGTGAAATCCACTAGGGTTATGTTCTGCGCCTGGTGGGAGAGAGGAAGGGTGGTAGAGAAGAAATGGGAAGGAGGCAGCGGGTCAAGGGTTAATGCCTACGGCTGGTGAGATATGGGGAGGGAGGGAGAGAAGAAGGGAGGGAGGGAGGGAGGGAGGGAGGGAGGGAGGGAGGGAGGGAGGGAGGGAGGGAGGGAGGGAGGGAGGGAGGGAGGGAGGGAGGGAGGGAGGGAGGGAGGGAGGGAGGGAGGGAGGGAGGGAGGGAGGGAGGGAGGGAGGGAGGGAGGGAGGGAGGGAGAACACACTGGTAGAATAGTGCAGACAAGAACTGAAACAGAAGCACACTGGCATTTGCACCAGGCGTGGTACAGGGCAGATGTGCAGTCCACCACAAGGGTCAGTATCCGCGGCTGGTGAGAGAGGGAGAGGGGAGGGAGTGAGTGTGAGAGGGAGGGGAGTAGACCAGTAGAATCGTACAGACAAGAACATCTCTTGGACTTCCCAGAAGGTACTCCACAAGAAGGATTAGTTTCTGCAGCTGGCGAGAGAGGGAAGGGGGAGTAGGTAAGAGAGGCATGAAAATATCTTGGTATAGTGAATTGCCCTGTATGTTGGAAGCAGCAGATAGCAGCAACCCCAATGAGATGTGCTTACCTGCTGCCGGTTGACAGCAAGGCCCTTGCTGCGATGGTATGCAATGCACGATTATGGTGCTGCATGGAGATGGACGGTGGTGCTGCATAGTGCTTCATGGTGCTGCATGGTGCTGCAAGGTGCTGCATAGTGCTTCATGGTGCTGCATGGTGCTGCAAGGTGCTGCATAGTGCTTCATGGTGCTGCATGGTGCTGCACATCCCTTGCACGCCCAATAAGCGTGGCCTACCTGGTGGCGGTTGTGCATGCCCTTGCTGTGGCGGTGAGCAACGAGAAGGCCACACTTCACTGCCATGGCCATGAAGCGGACCAGCACGTCTGATTGGTAGCACAGGAGGAGGGCGGGGAGATGGGGGAGAGGGGCGAACAGGAGAGAACACGTGGGGGAGAAAAGGGGTTGAGCTGACATCACTGCCATGGCCATGCACCGTACCAGCACGTCTGATGGGCAGCACGCATGAGGGGAACGCGCGGGGAAGGGAGTGGTGCACAGAGGAGGGAAACGAGGTGAGCTGCGGAGAGCGTGCACAGGAAGAGGTGAGCTGACTGCACTGCCATGGGCATAACGCACACCAGCACGTCTGATAACTACCACACGATTCACCCAGATGTGTGTGGGGGGGAAATGGGACACGTAGGGGAGGCAAAGGAGAGAGGATGCACAGGAAAGGGCGAGTGGGAACACGAAGGGGTGGGAGTGTTTTGATGTATGGAGAGGAGGGAGAGAGGAGAGGGGAGGGTTAATGGCGGTATGTAGGAGAGGGGGTGGAAGGTGGGAGTGTAAAGCTTTGTGCTGTGTTTTGGACTGAAGTGTTCTTGTAAGGGTTTACATTAAGGTTTCCATTTCGATTTCCATTACTGAAGAAAGTTCAACCTGTTGTAATGTAAACTGCAAACACTCACCACTTGTGACCTGCTGCGTAGATATACGCAAGAATATACACAAAACATGCAGCTTCCCAGCACTCACCATTTGTGACTATAATGAAGAGAGCGTGCCAAAAAGGAGGCACTTCAGCGGGCGGTAGGAGCAGAAGCGGTCTCCACAGCTGCTCGGGCCAGGAGAGCCAATTAACAACTGCCACGTGTGCAAGGAGCAGCACAGCTGCCAGCACCAGCAGCACTGGATTGCGGTCAGCCTGGCAGTAGGTCCAGGGGGAAGGGGAGGAGAAGGGGAAGGGGAGGGGGAAAGGAAGGAAGGGGAAAGGGGAGGGGAAAGGGGAGGGGAAAGGGGAGGGGAAAGGGGAGGGGAGAGAGAGGAGGAAGGGAAGGGGGAAGGGCAGAAGGGAAGGGGGAAGGGCAGGGGGGAGGCAGGGGAGAAGGGAGGGAGAAGAGAAATGAGAGAGCGATGGGCAGGGGATCAGCAGGGTCGTGGAAAAGGATCACTGAGAGGGTGTGGCACGATTTATATAACGAAGGGGCGACACCCATGTGGCACTGTCCTTATAATGAACGGGTGACACCAATGTGACACGGTGCCACCCATGTGACATGGTCCTTATAACGAAGGGATGCCACCCACGTGGCATGGTTCTTATAACGAACGGGTGCCACCCACCCATGTCGCACGGTTTCTTAAACCGAGCGGCTGAGAAAGAGAGAGGCGCACCTTGAGCGCGCCCTGTTTGCGGATGAAGTCGTTGGCCTTGAAGAGCGTCGCTGTGAGCCACACTACCGTGCAGAAGCCTGTGGTGGGAGGGGAGGTGAGCACAGAAATACACGCGAGTGTGTTGTTGCTGTGCTGGTGAGCTGGTGAGGGGTGCGCATGCATGTGTGGGTGAATTGTGAGACTCATGCATGTGCTAGCCATGGGCTCAACAGGCATGGAAACATAACTTACTCTGCACGACCAACCCCCACCCACACACCCACGCATGCATGCCCTCACACCCACACATGCATGCCAACACAAGCCCAAACGCCAACTGCGCTTTATCTTTCTATTGCCCACGCACACAACGCCAGCTGAATTTGCTCATCAAGCTCTGTTCCGTGAAAGTCCTACCTGACTCTCCACATGAGGTGCTGCCTCACTGCCCACTCACCAATCAGGTGCTGCCTCACTGCCCACTCACCAATCAGGTGCTGCCTCACTGCCCACTCACCAATCAGGTGCTGCCTCACTCCGCACTCACCAATCAGGTGCTGCCGGACTTGCACAAACAGCAGCAGGAACGCGAACGGAACGGCCTGCTCCAGGCTCCGCGCCGCCAGGTGCATGTCGGACCCGCGCGTCACCGTCCCCGCTCCGCCTCCCGCTTCCCCTCCCCCCCCGCGCCCCCGTCCGTCCGCGTCCTCATCACCACCACCATCACTCGAGCCACTACCAGCGCCGCTACCAGAGCCGCTACCAGCGGGAAGCCCACCGCTTGTCTCTGACCGTCCGTCTGCCGTTCTAGCTGCTCTCCCTGCTCCTCCTCCCCTTGCTCCTATGATTGCAATAGCCGCTGCTTCTCCTGCAGCGTCACTTGCTGACTCTGCTGAATCGCCATCAGTGCCTGCTGTCCCTGTTACCACTGATACCCCCCCTAGATTTTCCGTTCCTGCTGCTCCTGCTTCTGCCCCTGCTACTGCTCCTACTGCTGCTGCTTTTCCGGATTCTACTGCCGTTGCTCTTCCTCCGCCCATTTCCGCAAGTCCGTCTGCGGCACCATGCGCGCCGCCCCTCCGCGCGCCTGCGTCCGCTTGCCATCGCTCTCCGCGACTCTCTTCCGCCCTCCCTTCCCCCGCTCCCTCGTCCACATCCAGCCGTATCTCCCCGTCTGCTCTGCTCTCCCGCCTCTCCGCTCCTTCCGCCACGCTACCCGGAAGTGACAGTAACGAAGGCGACGCGTGCAAAGCGGAGGAAGACGCCGGGAGGATTGCCATCTGGGAGGGAGTCGGGGGGGAGGTGAGACTGCGGAGAGAGAACGGCTCGCCATTGGTCGACGATACTGCCACGTGGGCATCGTACGGCCGTCGATGACTCGGTGGCGGAGTCTCATACGGGCGGTAGCCTGACGCGGGATTCCCATTGGCGGATAAGACACTCGGGTGCGCGGAACTTCCCCGTGGTCTTACTTCCCCTTCTCCTTCCCCTTCCCCAGGAGTTTCCCCGCGCGCGCGTGTTTCCCCTTGTTCTTCCACTTGGCAGTCATCTGCTCCCCCGTGATCTTTCAACGTCGCAGAACGCTCGGCGCGTTTTTGAGAGACAGGTGCTATGGCTGGAGGAGGCAGCGGCGGCAACTGCGGAGGGTGCGGTCGCGTGACACGTGGCTCGTCTCCACTTGTGAAACGTTGCCCTTCTCCCCTCTGTCGTTCTTCGCTACTTCCACTAGTTCCTAAACCTGGTAAGTTTCTGACAGCATCTGGATTCGAGTGAGAAAGGAGGAGCGGGGAACTAGTGCTTGTAGCGGATCGACTGCTTGTAACAGGTTGGCTGGCGAGAAGAGGGGACTGGCCGGGATTCCGTCGACCAGGAGCAGCAGGCTGATCTGAGCCGAAAAACGCGGAGGAGAGACCGAGACTAAGCGCGGATAACGGCGGAGATCCCGCGACGTCGACAACGCGGTGGAAGAGATGCTGCTCTTCTCGATCCGAGTCCGAAGCGCTTGAAAACTGACCGTTTTCATGCGTCTGCTGCCGTTGAGACTGCTGGCGTGGCTGCTGACGTGGCTGCTGCTGCAGTTGCTGACGGCCGTCAGAGCTGTCGGACAGCCATTGAGGGAGGAGCTGATGTCGCTCCTGATTGGCTCGTTCGGGTGCGTGGCTACCGCGTCTACCGCTGGGACTTGGCGTTTCGCCGCTGGTTGCGCGGAGGATTCGAGATAACGCTTCGATAGGCGAGAATCTCGAACCGAACATGTTCAAGACATTACTGGTAGCATCATGCTGAGTTGTGATGTTACGAATTCCAGGTCCAGTGACCCTGGGTTGGTTCGGACTAGACGGAACTGGCGGATTCCTGCTGCCATGGCTACTGCTGCTGCTATTGAGTGGATTAACTTCTTCAGGGTCCACCATTGATCGTACCTTGTGTAGCTAATGCTGGTTGTAACTACAGGAGTGGGTTAAAAATCATGAAAGGGAAATCTGGGAGACACTAACGACACAACTACTTCTGTGTGACGGATTGTGGACTTGAACCTGGGGAATTATGAAGCTAGTTTTCCGGCCGAATCATCTAGGCGCTGCACGAGACGAGGCGCTAACACGCTTTATGATGCTCAGCCTTTCTCATCCCAAAACTATTTAGTGACCAGCTAAAGAATCTGCAATCTCCGAAATCTTCTGTGAGCGAGCTTGATAACAATTGTCATCTCCAACGGCTCCTTCACAATGCACAGCAACACTCGAGCTCGTTGGACACCTGTCTGTCACAATTATCTGTCAACTGCTGGACTCGCACGCTTGCTCCCATAACCTGTCTCCAGCCTTCACGCTCGCTGGTGCTTGTCTGGGAGGAACTTGACGGAATGACGGAATGATGGGGTGACGGAGTGACAGAACTGGACAGAACTGACGGAAAGAGACGGAAGTGAGGGAACCGCGGGGACCTGCGGTATCAAGTTCCGCGTTGGCGCAAGTTTTGTGCCAAACGTGTTCTTGGGGAGCCCATCACCTTCCGCGTAAACAAGCCGCTGACCAGTAAGATGCACTTGTCCATGCAGCGGACAAATCGAAGGGAGTCGCGCCTTTTCCAGCTGGGTTCGGTCGTTCGGACGCGCCATCACAAAGCAAGCCCAGCCCACGTCAGAAGCAAACTACGCTGACGGGGTCACGGCTGCGGGGCTGGAGATACCCGCGGAGGGCTACTGTTTCGAACGCTTGTGGCAGAGAGGCGGGAAAACGATGAAGGATATTTTTTGTCCGTTGCCTCGGTTCGGTGAGCTTCTCTTCGCAGCCCAGGTGCATAGGAGGGTCTGACGACAATCGCGCGTGTACAGCGACGTTCGTCATGTCGAAGCAAGCAGTTTGGTTAGGTGACCTCGCTGGCTGCGTGGCGACCATGTACTAGTTCAACGCGCTACGGTAAAACCGTGGTCACTGAAATAATCTCTTACAGAACACAAGAACCTAGTATCTAGCCCACGGTATTGCTCACCAAGTTTGCCTGCCACACAGGTCAAGCGAACTAGCCTTTCATGAAAAAAGCCAATAGTAAACCGAAATCCATTTTCTACTCCTGCGCAGCAACCTTGAGCGCAAGAGTGAGGTCATCCAAGCTCGCCTTGGCATACAGCTGGTGCTTCACAATCTCCACCGAATCCCTCGACGCCACAGCGCCCGTCGCCGCATCCTCCTCATCCACCGTGTTGAAAATCACAAACGCCGGCGACGTGAAAATAACCTCACGCTCCGTCGGCTCATGCCTGTAAAGCAAATTCCCCATGCGTCGCCCCCCGCCAGAAGCCTTGGCTGCAGCAGGGGGGAGCGGGGGAGCAGAGGATGCTGCTGCTGCTGCTGCTGCCGCTGGTGCCAGGGGTGCTGCTGGTTGCTCCTGTGCTGTCGCTGCTGCTACTGCCGGAAGGTTCCTTCTCCTGCCATAGCCTCCCCACGATCCTCCATTCATCCGTTCGGCTGTCCGGCTCCTGTGATTGGTAGAGAGATCGGAATGCGGGAAACGAGGGAGGGGTATGTGGGGGCAAGGGGAGGTGGTGAAGAAAGGGTTTGTGCAGAAAAGAGAGCAGCTTGGCCACCAAGTGCGAACAGCCCTGCAGCCGCTCCTACACGCAAACACACTCTCCTCTATCCTGACACGTCTCAAATCTGGCACTCACAGGAAGGTGCGGAAGACGGATGGGAGCGGGCAGCAGGCGCACGGACGGCACATGAGTAGCATTAAGGGCCCTCTCAGACAGCAGCTTGGCCACCAGGCGCGAGCAGCCCTGCAGGCGCTTCCACATGCAAACACTCTCCTCTCTCCCAACACATCTCGCACCAGACAGACTCTCACAGGCAGGCACGAGCAGCCCTGGCTGCTTCCACATGCACCCACCCTCCTTTCTCCCAACACATCTCAAATCCCAGCACTCACAGGCAGGTGCGGCAGGCGGATGGGCGCGGGCAGCAGGCGCACGGACGGCACATCAGTGGCATTGAGGGCTCTCTCAGACAGCAGCTTGGCCACCAGGCGCGAGCAGCCCTGCAGGCGCTTCCACAGGGAGGCTGCCACCATGGCTGTGGCCTCCATGCGCGTGAACGCCCTCAGCAGCACCTCCAAGTCTTCGACTCGTTCATCGGAGCAACTACCAGCGCTCTCTGGTGGGGGAGGGGTGGAGAGGGGTGGGGATGGATGAAGTACAAAACACCGCCACCATGGCTGTGGCCTCCATGCGCGTGAACGCCCTCAGCAGCACCTCTAGGTCCTCCACTCGCTCGTCCGAGCAGCTGCCAGCGCTCTCTGGGGAAGTGCAGAGGCGTGGAGAGGGGTGGGGATGGGTGGAAGGGGGAGAGGGAGAGGCGGAGAGGTTTGGGGAGTGGTGAACTGGAAACTGCTGCTAAAGGTGCCTAGAGAGCAGGAGAGGCTGCCACCATGTCTGTAGCCGCCATGCAGAAGAGGGGTGGAGAGGGGTACGGACGCGTGGGGAGGGGTGACCAGCAAGTGCTGCAAAAGGTGTCCCAAAAGCAAAAGCGGCTGCGAGCATGGCTGGCGCCTCCAACGCGACATGTTATGTTGATCACCATAAACGCCACACTGTGCCCGCCACCCATCCCCATGAGATGACTTTTGAGTCGACTCAAAAGTCACCACTGTGAGCATGGCTGGCGCCTCCAACGCGACATGTTATGTTGATCACCATAAACGCCACACTGTGCCCGCCACCCATCAGTTTCCCAATCCCACCCACCACATCACTCCCATGACTCACGATCATCCAGCCACTGCCACATGCTGGCCACCATGCCGGCCACGCGCTGCCTCTGCTCCGCCACGGGCTCCTCTCGCCCGCCCTGGTCGCGGCAGCAGTCCCCAATCCCACCCACTGAGTAGCCAATCCCACCCACTGAGTAGCCAATCCCACCCACCCACTGAGTAGGCAATCCCACCCACTGAGTAGCCAATCTCACCCACTGAGTAGCCAATCCCACCCACTGAGTAGCCAATCCCACCCACTGAGTAGCCAATCCCACCCACTGAGTAGCCAATCCCACCCACTGAGTAGCCAATCCCACCAGTCGCCCTCATGACTCACGGTCATCAAGCCACTGCCACATGCTGGCCACCATGCCGGCCACGCGCTGCCTCTGCTCCGCCACGGGCTCCTCCCGCCCCCCCTGGTCACGGCCCAGCAGCAGCACGGCGGACGAGAAGCACGTCGCCAGCAGCTGCCCCAGCAGCTCCTCGGGTACAACCGTGTCAAGGTAGTGCAGGATCTGGGGGGGTGGAGAGAGGTGGAGAGGGGTAGAGAGGGGTAGGGGAGGGGATGGGGCGGAGTAGAAGGGATGGATGGTTAGTGTCTGATTTTCACGAAGCTGGCCCAGCAGCTCCTCCGGCACCACCGTGTCCAGATAGTGCAGGATCTGAAGGGGTGGAGGAGAGTGGAGAGGGTTGGGGCGGAGAGGGGTGGAGAGGGGTGGAGAGGAGTAGGGGAGGGTTGGGGCGGAGTTGAAGGGATGGAGGGTTAGTGTCCGCATCACAGGAAGCTACCCAGCATTCCTATGGCACCACCACAGTAAAGCTCCTCAGGTGCAAGGCCCCGCAAAGAGCCACTCACACAAGACATTCTTTCCACCAGGTCCCGACTCTCTCCTCGTTCCCATCCCTCCCCACCTCCCTCACCCCTGCAATCCCTCACCTTCTCGCCCTCCAGGTCGAAGTGGAAAATAGGCCTCTGCTCATGAGCAGGTTCAGGCTCAGCGCTGTCCCACAGCTCGCGCCACAGGTTGCCATGCACCTCCTCCATGCGCTCCGACAACCTCCCCCTGGGCGGCCACCCCAACCCATCCACGCGGTACCGCCTCCTCCTGCTCCCTCCACCACCACCACCGGGACCCCTCCCGCGGCCGCCGCCTCTCCCTCTCCCCCCCCTGCGCCCGCCACGCTCGTGCTCGTCGCTGTCCCGCCTCCTCATGCCGTCGTCCCTCCAGTCGCGCTCATCATAATCATCACCATCATCCCGGTCGCCGCGCCTGTCACGGCCGTCACGGAAGTCACGTCGGCCATCTCTGTCATCACGGTCGTCACGGCTGTCGCGATGGTCGCGCCTGTCGCGGCCGCGGCGCCGCTCGCCAAACTCGTCCCACTCCTCGCGGTCGTCGCTGTACTCCCCCTCCTCTCGCCCCCTCCCGCTGCCCCTTCCCCTCGCCCTCTCCCTCTCCCTCTCTGGGTCACTGTCTGGTTCTGGGCTTCGATACCTCTCCCTCTCCCTCTCCTCCTCCCTCCCCTTGAGCGCGTCCCTATCCCTGTCTCTCTCCCTATCGCTCCCATCTCTCTCCTTCTCCCTATCGCTGTTGTCCTTGTCCTCCTCCCTCTCTCCTTTCTCCACAGCCTTCTCAGTCGCTTCCACCTCACTCTCTTTCACACCCTCCTCCTTCTCAATCTCTTTCCCACCATCCCCCACACTCTCCCCTCCCACTTCAACCTTCTCTTCCTTGCCTTCCTTCTTCCCATCCTCCCCTTTCTCTGCCTTTTCCTCACCAGCCTCCCCCTCCCCTGTCTTCTCATCCTGAGCTGCTTCAAAAAACTCCTCTTCCTCTTCCTTGTCCTTTTTGGGGCTCCTGCTGCTGGGGCGGCGAGAAAGAGAGCTCTCCTTCTTCTCTTTCCCAGGAGTCCCATCCTGGTCGTAATCAGAGTCCCCCTCCCTCTTACTCTTGTCTCTGCCACCATACTCTCCTCCCTCCTCCCTCTCCCTCTCCCTCTCCCTGCTCCTATCCCTGCCACCACCCCTCCTATCCACCTCTCTGTCAACATCACTCTCTTCCGTGTCTCGCCCTCTCTCCCTCTCCCTCTCTCTCTCTCGCTCCCTCTCCCTATCAATCTCCCTGTCTGAATAATCATCATCAGCATACCTCCCGCTCTCCCCGTACCTCCCACTCCCACTATCACTGAACCTCCCACTCGCGTCCCTCAAGCTGTCATCCCTCCTGTACCTCTCCTCGCCTCCCCTTCCGTACCTGTCCCCTCCTCCCCTGCCGTACCTGTCCTCCCGATCCTCATACCGGCCGCCCCGCCCGTACCTGTCATCATCATCCCTCCCGTACCGCCTGCCCCCATCGTCATACTCATCATCGTAATCGTCCACGTCATCAGAGCCCTCATCCGCGCTTATGATTGGCAGCCAGTCGTTGGGCGAGTGCCAGCGCACAAAGTCCTCTAGCACAGCCCCGGGGTTCGCAGCTTTGAAAGCCGACATGTCTGGCGGAGCAAGGTGTAAGAGGAGAGTGTGTGCGGGGGGAGAGAGGAGGAAGAGGGAAGGATTGGGTTGCACAAAGAAGGGAGGGTAACATCAGCCAGTCATTGGGTGAACACCAGTGCACAACAAACCCTGTCAGAACTGCGGCAGTGCTCATGTTGTTGGGGTATTGCTTTGAAAGCTCAACGCGTGAAGGGGCAAAGAGCGCAATTTGTGTTGGAAAGAGAGGATTTGCACGGGGCCAGCAAAAGAGAGCAAGATTGGCGAGAAGCATGACAGCATGAAGAATCAAATATAGACGGCATAAAGGACGGTCGGAAAAAGATCAGATCAGACCTGAAGCAACAACATCACTCTGCATGCGAGCTCGAGTTTCACGTCCCTGCGCACATGACAGGCAAGCAGACAACAATTGCACATGTAAGACCACATACACAATACACCCACACATACACTGATTCTTTGCAGTCCAGTTTCCGGGCATGACTGCTGGGATAGCACCCTGTTTACTTGCAAGGATTCCTCACTCACCGCAGGGGTGCTGCCAAGAGCCTCCATGGCTCGTTCCTTCTCCTCGATCATGTCTTCACTCATGAACACCGGGTCCTGTGTGTGTGGCTCCAGCATACGTCGCCTCACTCCTGTCCGGTGACAACAGTCTTCCAACACCAAACCCAGACAAGTGACTCACCGCCGGGGTGCTGCCCAGGGCCTCCATAGCGCGCTCCTTCTCCTCGATCATGTCTTCACTCATGAACACCGGGTCCTGTGTGTGTGGCTCCAGCATGCGCCGCCTCACGCGCAGCAGCCACAGGTCGCCCTTCACCGGTCCCGCCACCCCCCGCCGGCGCACGCGGCGCCGCCCCCTCGCCATCGCCCCCGTGAGCCCGTGGCTCGTGCGGCCCCTCTCCGCCCACGTGTCGTCGTCCGATACGTCGCTCTCGCTAAAATATCTGTGGGTTGTGCGCGGGTGGGTGGTGGATAAGTGAGGTGCATCACTCATGCAGCCCCTCCATGCCCACTTCATGAAAATCCCCACCATGAGTGGGCTGGGCCCAACCCCTTTCTCTTCATAAGACACCATCCTCTCAACCCCATTTTCCATGCTGCACTCACTCATCCAGGTCCTCTTCACTGCGGTGGGAAGGCGAGTCACCATCGGCCACGCCGCCCTCATCATAGAACGCCACGTCGTGCGACCCGTGCGTGTCCGAGTCCCCCGAGGGCGTCTTGTCGTCGTGGTACGGGCTCGCCCCATCGCCATCGTCCCAACCCCGCCCTCCTCGCCCGCGACCCGCCCTGCCATCATGCCAGCCACCGCCCTCACTCCCAGACCTCTCCATCCCCTCCCACTCCTCCTCATCCCTCCCGCCCCTCCTCTCCCTATCACTCCCCCTCCCTCCCCTCTCTCTCCCACTGCCGCCGCGCCTCGAGTCAGCGCGAGTCGGGCCGTCGTCGAGCGCTGTACCCCTTACAAGCTCCTCCACGCGCTCGCCTACAAGCTTGGCGGCGGCGATCTGGTGCATGCGCTCTGCGTGCCGCATGCGCTCCTCCATCTCCCGCTCCTGCTGCTTGCGCCGCCGCTTGATGCACTCCTGCAGCTGTGAGAGGCGAGGGGGAAGGAAAAGTGGGGGAAGTGGGGAGAAAAACGGGAAAGGAAAATAGGGGAAAGGCGAGCATGTTAATTATGCTCCTCCATCTCACGCTCCTGCTGCTGCTTGTGCTCCAGCTATTTGTTAAGCGCCTAAAAGACAAAGCCACCTACCAGCTGCAGCTTCTGGTGAATGAGGCAGGTGGCGGTGTTGGGAGGCCCGTCAGCAATGACTCGAGGGATGGGCAGCGCTTGCTCCCAGTTCCACCGCAGCTCTCGGGTGAACTCCAGCCACAGCGCCGCCACGGCTGAAAGTGGGCCAGAAGGGAGAGTGCAAGGGGGCAGAGGGTTAGGGATGAGAGAGCAACGAGAGGGGACACGGCAAGGATCCTGCTCCCAGTTACACCTCAGCTCACGTGTGTTGTGAATTCCAGCCACAGCATTCGTGTGACTTTTGAGAATTGTCAAAAGGCAAGGATCCTGCTCCCAGTCACACCTCAGCACACGTGTGATGTGACCTCCAGCCACAGCGCTACCACGGCTGGAAGAGGGACAGAGGTGAAGGAATAAGGGGGCAAGGCACGAGACAAGGAACAAGGAGGCAAGGAACAAGGATGCAGCTCGTGCATATGACGCGGCTGCAATCAAGAAGGATGGCCCAGATGCCATGACTAGCGGTACCATGTTTGGCAACTTGAGCGACGAAGGGGCGGGTAGTAGCCAAACATAGTAGCGTTATTCAAGGCATCTGGGCCATCCCTCTCGATCACAGCCGTATCATATGCACAAGCCGCCTCCTCTTCCGTGGCAGTTCCACCGCAGCTCGCAAGTAAAATCCAGCCACGGCTAAAGGACAAGAGGGGAAAAGGAAAGGAAGGGTTTTCAAAGTGCAAGCAAAGTGAAGGTTGTGGGAAGAGAGAGATACGCAAGGCCACAGGTGGCATGGACAAGGCAGGTGCGCGAGGCTCATCGGATGTTGCAAGTGCCGAAGCGCAGCACATGCAGCGCAAGGCGTGAGAATGTACGATATTTGAGGCACCTCACAAATCGGCAGGGCAGGGCAGGGGCTCACATCGAATGTTGCAGGTGCCGAAGCGCAGCACATGCAGAGCGAGGCGTGAGAAGAGCGAATCCACCGGCGCCGCCTTGCCAATGTGCGTTGCCCCCTTGAACTTGCCACTCAGCCCATTCTCCTCCATGCCCTTCCCCCCTGCACCTTCTGTTCCCCCTCCCTCCGCTCCTGCCCCAACTGCTCCCTCTCCTGCAGGACCCTTCACCCCGCTGCCAGTAACGCTGGTGTCGGTGGCGCTGATGCTGCTGATGACACTGCTGGCAGTGGTGATGGTGGTGCCGCGGTCAGCATCAGAGATGGAGTTCGCCTCCTGCTGCTCTGACGCCTTCCCCATGTACTTGGACACTGACGCCAGTGCCTCCTCTGGGGGGGGGAAGGGGGAGTGGTGCAAAGGGGGATTTAGAGTGCAAGAAATCACTTTCCAGTTAACGAGAAGCCTTGAAGCACGACACCAGCCAGCCTGTCGTGCTTTAAGGATTTATAAGAAGCCCATAACAAAAAGCTCTTTACAAAGCCCTATCAGACCAGCCTGATATTTAAGGCTTTCGAGACTAGGAGCTTGATATGGGCCTTGAAAAGAGCTCAAAGTGCAACTCACTGGAGTGAACGAGGCGCTTACTCGAGTGGAAGAGGTCCTTGACCACTCGCTCCATGACACTGGGCGGTGGGATGGTCATATTGTTGCGCCGCGCAAAGTTCTGAGCTGCGATGGGGGAAGGAGATGTGGGGCGACGAGACGCGGCCAAAGAAAGTGAGACGAGAAATGGGAAGCGACGTGAGGAGGACCAGAGAAGTGTGGGGAGGGAAGGAGATGCGCAGATATAAGCACCTCTGTAAACAATGGACCTCCATGAGGACACCGGCCAGCAACTCGACAGTAATAGATAACACGATACACTCACATACACCACATACCCGCTATAAAGTCTTCCATGTACTGGCCTGTGGTGGACACCACGTACGCCCCCAGCAGCGCATGCAGCCGCCCAGCAAAGCCCTGAGGGGGATCGTCACTGTCAAAGTCAGTCCTGCACGGAGGAGAGGGGAGGTAACGGAAGAAGAGGGAAGGAGAGGAGAGATGAGGAAAAAGAAGCAACAGGTAGTTCTAGCACATACATTAGACTCATCAAAACTGCTCCTGGGTGGTGCAAAGGAAGACATCTCTCCTGCCGGGAGCGAAGGGAGACGCTTCTCACCTGGTGGGGGCGAGCAGGGCACGAAGCAGCCATTCATCCGCGGTAGTAGCATCCAGCTGCTCCATCTGCGCCATGCCTGACGAGCTGCTCGCCCGGAGCTCCTGGAAGCGAGAAGGGGGCCTCACCTCACCTCACCTATTGGTGCAAAGGGTGACGACGCCTCACCTGGTGGGGGCGAGAAGCGCACGAAGCAGCCATTCATCCGCAGTGGTGGCATCCAGCTGCTCCATCTGAGCCATGCCCGACGAGCTGCTCGCCCGGAGCTCCTTCCACGTGGCCACCAGCTCAAACCCCTTCACCGGATCGTCCACCGAGTGCCACACGCTCCACGCCATGCCCTCAGCTCCTGGGAGCGAGTAGGGTGCCTCATCTACTGGTGCAAAGCGAGACGCCTCACCTGGTGGGGGCGAGAAGCGCACGAAGCAGCCACTCATCCGCGGTAGTGGCATCCAGCTGCTCCATCTGAGCCATGCCCGACGAGCTGCTCGCCCGGAGCTCCTTCCACGTGGCCACCAGCTCAAACCCCTTCACCGGATCGTCCACCGAGTGCCACACGCTCCACGCCATGCCCTCGTCCCACGCCCTCTCCTGCCCCCAGAACTCGTCCTCCTCCTCCGCCCCTGCGCCTGCGCCCTCCTCGCCCCCCGCCCCTGCGCCTGCTTCTGCTGGGCGGGTCTTGGGGGGCGGGGGCGCGTCTGGGGAGCCCCAGTAGCGCAGGCGGTAGCGGATCCGCATGGCGACAGTCACATCAGGGGACACTGACGCCACCGTGCTGGGGAGCTCTGCTATCTGCGAATGAGGGGAGGGAGGGACGGAAGGGGGTGAATGGGGAGCCCCAGTAGCGCAGGCGGTAGCGGATGCGCATGGCCACAGTGACGTCTGGGGACACTGATGCCACCGTGCTGGGGAGCTCCGCTATCAGCGAGCGGGTGAGGCAGAGACGGGGAAAAAAAGAGGGAAGGCTTGGTGACTAAGCAACCCCAGGCGGTAGCATTTGCGTCAGGGAAAAGGAAAGAATGAAGGTAGGACAAAACCAGCTTCGGGGCACCCATGTCTCACCAGCTTGAACGCGAAGAGATAGTAAAGAGCATCGAGAGACAGCAGGTTCTGCGTTGCTGGTGATGCGATCCGCCTCGTAGTGAAACAGGCCACGCTCTTTGAGACGTCTCAAAACTCACCAGCTTGAAGGCAAAGAGGTAGTAGAGCCCGTCGAGGGACAGCAGGTTCTGCGGCACGTTGCTGGTGATGCGATCCGCCTCGTAGTGAAACAGATAGTCGCCCACGCCCCCCGCGCCCACCCCTCCCACCGTGCCTCCTCCCGCGCCCGGACCTGACCGCACGCCTCGGCCCGAGCCTGAGCCCGCGCCGGTGCGGGTGGCTCGGGGCCCGTGCTGGAAGCCGATGAAGGCCTTGCGGGAGGGGTCATGCACTGGAACGAAGGAGGGCAGGGAGCTGGGGAGGGAGGAAGAGAGAGAGGGGGACGAGGAGAGCGAAGGATGGAGGTGACAATAATGCAAGCATTTTGAGTCTAAGACGCAAAGAGGGGGAGCTGCATGGATCAGCACGGAGAGAACGTTACAAGCAGAGGTCTTGCGAGTCCTACTGCTGGCCACGCTCAATGCCACGAGATGTTGTCATTGCATACCCACACCCCCCCTCCCCTTCCGCCCCCCCCCCTCTTCTCACCCCCCCTCTTTCCCCTTCAAAAAAAAAAAAAAAAAAAAAAAAATCGTCAAAGGTGGTTACCACTCGGTGTTACACGAGGCGATGGCGAGCGTGCTAAGGAGCATGGAGGCTTCAGGTGAGTCCAGCACAACTCCAGAGGCTGTCACGGGTGCCAGCACCTGTGATTGAGGGTAGGGAAGAAGAATCGAGCAAGGACGTGAGAGGATGAAGTAGGCAGGGCTGCAGCGCACAATAGCTCAGCTCAGAGCACTACCAGCAGCAGGTCCGGTCGCTCACACCACAAACTTATGAATGCCGAACCAGAGCCAAGACATTTCGAGCCTAGAGCATAGCAGCGGCATCTCACCACAAACTCTTGGATGCCGAACCAGAGCTGCAGTGGGTGCACGGCCTTCTCCCAGGGGCTGGGGCGGCCCGTGGCTGAGATAGAGGCAATGCGCTTGAGCGCCGCTGCTGTCTCTGCTGCCACCGTCGGATGTATGCTGTTGCTGCTCGCCAGGGTCACCTGGTGGCGGTGAGGTGGTGATGGGATGGGAACGACGTCAGTCATGCAAGGAAGCACAGCGATGCCTGGCGATGGAAGACGGATACACGCTGTTGCTGCTCGCCAGGGTCACCTGGTGGCCACCTAGGATAGGTAGATGGGGATAGGGGACAGATGCATGCTCTGTGGTATGCTGAGCGATGCACATGCATGCTCAGCGATGCACATGCATGCTCAGCGATGCACATGCATGCTCAGCGACGCACATGCATGCTAAGCGACGCACATGCATGCTAAGCGACACACATGCATGCTAAGCGACACACATGCATGCTCAGCGCTGCCCCTGGAATCATGAGGTGGGAAATGCTATGCCCCTGAGGTGAGTGTTGCGTAAGAAACAACAAGCCAATTATTCCAGGTGGGAGGCGCTGACCTGGAAGTAGTAGGTGAGGCGGTAGTTCTTGTGGCCCTGCGCGTGCTCTGCCTCCACATACACCATCAGCGGCATGCCCTCCACTGGCCGCGCCGCTCCTGACTGCTCGGGGAGAGACAGTGGGGAAGGAGAGTTCGAGAGAGGACGGAGAGGTGACGCATTGATACCTTTGCCTTGAGCAACGCCAGCGTGCACTATCAGAAAAATGTCCTCCACTGGCCAAGCCAAGGCACCACTACCACAACTGACGGGCCAATCTAGTCGCTGACTGATGTGGCTTCTCACAACTAGCGTCATCGAAGCAGAACGGGCGTAGGTGAAGCTAAAAGTAGGCATTCAATAGTCTAGACGTATCAGGGTAAAGGATCAGTGGTAGAAGTATTAGGATGTGTTGAGGTGTCAGACTGCAAGTACCTGTACAAGAGCAGCAGAGCCTTCCGACAGCCACTGGCGCAGAGTGCCTTCCACTGCAGCGATGAACCTGGCCACGCATGGAGAGAGGATGAGGTATGGCGCACAGCGGACAGAGAATGGGGAAAAGCGTACAGCGTAAAAGTACAGAGAATGCGCGTACAGCGTACAGCATATGGCAGAGGACAAGGTGCAATGACGTGCAAGTAGGCGCGCAAGCACACGGCGCTGTGAGGTGATGAGCGGTGATGCGCCGTGAGCTGAAATGTGCTGGTAGCAAAAAGTGCGAGGACTGTATGCGTGGCACGCACCTCTCCCATGGTGAAGCCAACGTGAAGTCGTCGAACCCATCGAGCTGTCGACCACAATTGGACAAGTAAGACACACGTGACCGTGCGCACACACGCACACACAGAGAAGAGAGAGCGAGTACTTTTTGCAGATGCAATCCGGTTATAATCAGAATGGTTTGGTGAGATTTATTTACATTCTCTCCAATTCATAGAAATTTCCGGAACAGGCAACACGGGTAACGCAGTGCTCCTCTCACCACGCCAGCTTAACAATCTCGAACAAAAATACTAACTAGTTTAATCAAATGCGTCAAACTCTTCTTTCCATGCTCACCTCCTCGTCGAACTCGTCGTCTTCAGACGTGGCAGCTGAGAGCGACCGCTGCATCATCGCCGCCATGATCGGACGATGCTACCTGCAGCCCGCTGACAAGGATAGACACGGAGACGACCGGAGTGCACAATGCGACGTTGTGACCTCCAGACCGCCAAGAGAGATACGCAATGCGATGACCAGGGTAGACAATGTCTAATAATGTCTTACGATTGCGCTTATCATAAACACATCATTACAGGTAGACGACCTAGCACACCTGTTGCAACGAAAAATCTGTGGAAAACCACCTTCTTAACCTAATGCAAATAACAGTAGCTCCAAGATGCATGGGACAAATATGCCCTACCCTATTTTTCCTGCGTCTACCTTTTTTAAGAGAGAGCGATGCTCGATAATGACAAGCGCTTCAAGTTGTGCGAAAATGCGGACTCAGCAAAGTAGCAACAACTCACGTATCTATTTCCAGCCAATCCTTCTGTTGCGGAAATGTACAGCCTCTGATACACACTAAGAGAGCTGTCGGCGTTATCGCGATCTATACCACGTTCATCTTTTCGCAACGCAATGCCAGGCAAGAAGACAACGCGGAAGCAGCAGCTATTCAGAACGCAGCGGCCGGCCTACTAATTTGAAATCATTTCTAGAGCTCTCATAAGCTAGCATTGCAGAAGAAGTTGCACAAATCAACCCACAATTCCCTCCCAACCACCACACACCATACCGAACCACGCACCAACCACCACACTTTCGGCGACCCCAAAAGGCCTAACCTGGGATGGTCAGTTGGCGGAAGCGAGGGTGGGTGGGAGGAAAGGGCAGTGGTGAGGTTGGGCGCCTCAAGGGTCAGCTGCACGAAAGCGGTTCCCCATCAGCTGAATTGATTCTCTGGTTGCTTAGCCTGTTGCAGTGTACATGAACGCTTAGGGCCAAATCTGAAATTGACATGCCTTTCTCGAGAAATTTAGCATGACAATCTAACCCTCTAACACTCCATTAAATTTAACTTCAAAGATAGCCCAATTGGCATATGCAGGTACATCTGATTAGACAAATGACCTTATGAAACTGCCTCCTTCTAATCAGAGTGACCTTACCCTGGGGGGCTCCTGCTTTGCAGCTTCGTGCTCTGCAGTCCCACTTCAACATCCTGGTTTGCCAGCTCCCTCTGACTTGACTCTTGAGTACTTAACCTGCCCAAGCGGTAAAAACCTCTTCTATAGAACGACTGTGCGCCAAGGAGCCCATCTCCCTCCGCACCACCCTCTTCATGTGCCTCAGAATCGTGTAGAACCAAAGACGAATCAACATTGGCCTGCACTCCCCGTTCTGGGCTCACAACAACCAGAGGGCAATCCGCACGCATACTGTTGTTACATCGAGCTTGCTTCCCTTCCTGAGCTTCTGCCTCCCTTTTAACTGCACTCTGAGGGTCGTCAGCAATAAGAGCCACCTCAGCAGCAGGCATTTCCCCCCTGAGAAACGCACCGGCAGCACCCATCTCCACCGCACCCGACCTATCTGCACCTCCGCTAGCCACCTGTTCCATCTCAAGCCCCTTGTGCTTGGCTCTCTCCTCCTCCTCGAGCTGCTGCAGAGCCCTCTTGCCATGCACCATGAGCAGCAGCAGCACCACTCCCGCTGCTGCCAGCCCTATCAGCTCGTACACCAGTTCCACTGCTGTGATGTGCCGCTTGTGCGCCTCCGCTAAATCACTTATCAGCCGACCGCTGCAGCACAGGGAGCGGGGCAGGGGGGAGAGGGGGGTGGGGAATGATTGGAAAGGGTTGAGAATATGGTACGCAAAGAGCTGATCTGCCGCCAGCCCAATCAGCTCGTACACAAGCTCCACCGCTGTTATGTGCCATTTGCGCGCCTTCGCCAGATCGCTGATCAGACGACCGCTGCACCGCAGAGGGGAAACGGATGGATTCAGAAGAGCCGAGGGTGAATTATAACAACAGGTGATCGATATCCAGGACTACCAGCTCATGCACCAGCTCAACCACTGTAGATTCAGAGAAACAAACAAAGCAGACTCTGGCTACAAAACAAGGAAGTGTGACAAGAACCATGTCAGGGTGTGTGCGTGTGGCAGACGCACCAGTAGATGGTGAAAAAGGCTTCGGGAATCATGGCAGTCATCGATGCACAGATGTAGGGCGCGTAGCGGATGCGCGTGGCTGTTACAGCGTCTGCAGACCATATCAAGGGGAGCAACAAAGAGATGGTGAGATCTGAAACAACTCAACACGATGCCCACAAGAACAGAAACCTGCATTCAATGAAACTAACACCCCAACAACCCTGATGCACCCACGAGAGGATGGGTAGAAGTCTGAAAGAAGGAATGCATGCGTACGCACAGTTGAAAAGGAGGAACGGAAACGGGGAGAAGCGCAGCAGCAACGTGACCCGGTACTGGTGCCACCAGCCGCCAGCCTCAGCCAATCGCAGCACAGCAGCGTTCCGTGGGTGCTCAGCCAACCACGCTTGCACACGTGCATGGAACAACCAATGGCCAATGAAATACGGCAGCGATTGACCGATAAAGGAGCCAACCATAATGAGGATGAAACCGCAGGCGTACCCAAAGACAATCCCAATAAGCCACATCGACGGTCCCGTGGGGATGAGAACTACAGGGAAGAGACCCATACTGGCAACGGCTACCACGCCAAGGACTGGGGGACTTAGATTCTTCTGCTCCCATTCTAGCATGGGTATGATGACTTTGGAGAAGAATAAAGGACCCAATACGGCTACGAGACCTCCAACCAACATGAGTAATCCGACAACGGCCGCCACCCAGATGCATCGGCGTGATCTGGACCGTTCGTTCACCATGATAGCCTGTGAATCCATAGCCTCGATCTGGGATAACTTTTCAACCGCGCTTTTCTCTAAACACGGCGACGTCTTAAGATTCGAAGGCGTTCGCGACATTGTTGATGATACCATAGGCTCCACTGTAGACGCTGACGTGGCTAGAGTTTCTCGGGTAAGGAGAGTCGCGATTTCGTGATGGCAGCAGGCGCTGCGTGCTGTTCTACCGTCGCGTGCTCTACAGGGTTCGCAGAGAGTCGCAGATTCGTCCGACTCGCGCACAGTCGCCGTTTGGCGTGTTGACTCTCTGTATGAATCCGGAATAACGACGTCCAAAGGCGAAGCTTCGGCGACGAAAGCTCGTTCGACACAACCCACTACTCGCTGTTGACGGTCTCCCATCCTCTCAAATAAAAACCTCTTCCAAGTCCGTGGTTGTGAAGTCGCAAGGAAAAAGCTGGTAGGAAGCACGGAACGTACAATCACGAACGTGTCGCACGGCGTGCTACCGTCGAAACTATCTTGCCAAAAACCAGAGACGGTACTAAGCGTCCTGTCACGACAACAAGAGCCGGTTCCTTGCTCCGCAAATACGAATTCACTGACCGCAAAAGCGAAAGCTATCACACCAAAACGTGGATTCTAGGGAGGTGCCCGGTAGCAGGCTTCTTAAGGTGGAATAGGAATAGGAATATATTATGATCTTAATCATTACAAACATGGTCACAGAATATCAGAGAACATGGCTAAAGACGCCAACAGCCTTAAGGCGTACGTGTTGAACACGTTATTCCCCTATCCTAGCGGACAGCCATCAGCTTCGCTGGGGAGTATCCTGTGATGAGGATAGAACAAAATTACGGGGGCTGGAAAGGGTTTCCAAGGAGCCAAGAAGTGCGGAGATCAGGATGGATTGAAGGGGAGCCGTCGGCTCCGAAGGAGATGAAGCGAAGCCGCTTAGCCGCACGAATGCGTGGCGCTGATTTTTGCTGTTTCTTGGCAGACTGTTTAGAGCGTAGCCAAAGGAAGATTTTGAAGGCCAAGAGAAACTGAGCGAGGATGAGTTGCAAGATCTCGAAGCGAGAGGAGACGACGTTGTCAGATCTCTGATTGCAGCGAGCATTCCAAAGGGCCTTGGCAGCAGCGCCTACTAGGAGGCTCCAGGGGGCAGACTGGCCAGCTCGAGAAGGGAGCGGAAACCGGATGTGCTCGGTTGGGGGGGAGCACCCAAGTGGCGGCGAGCAACTGAGCCTAACTCTGCCGTCACATCAGGGGCGGCCCCGCAAACAAAGAAGATATGGGATATAGTCTCAATCTCGTTGGAGGAGCAGCGCGAGCAGCGGCCCCTATCTGCAGAGAACAGGAACCGGGTGCCTGAAGGAAGAGAGCGAGTGGTGCTTCTTGAGGTGGAGTCAAGCGTAGCGACAAGGGGATTGTCGCTGACGGGATGGTGGGTGTTTCCAATTCCTTCAGGCCTATTCCCTGACCGCACCGTCGATCCACCGTTGTGGTGGATGCCATCCACCCGTCCATCTAGGCTGCGAAACCCGAGAAAGGAATCGTGTCACGAACTGCTCGCGCCTTTGCGACTTTTCCTCCGACCTCTGCGGGCCAGTGGTTTGCAGCTGCGACCGTGGTAACTATTAGTTTCGTTGGATATGCGAAACCTGGTGGGCCTACACGGTCACGTGTTTACAATTCTCTAGGTGTATTACCACGCTGGCAAGGGCGTGGGAGGGTTGCGAGCATCATTAGTCATCGGTGCTCTCGAATGAAGAACGCACGCTCCACTTTGTGCACATGTGCGGATCCTTCCGCATTTTGGGGGTCGAAGGGCTCGTTCCGAGTGTTTTTCTTCCGCCGGGTCACGTGGGTGCGCTTGTCATGGCCTACTACCAAGCCAGCAAGGGCGTGGGAGGGTTGCGAGTGTCAGAGGTCCACTGGGGATCCCCGATGATCCTAGGGAAGGGTTACAGGCACGTCGGCCTGGGGGGTTATGGGCGCACTCACCCGCTATATAAACAAGCCCTTTTATCCCAGTGGTTAGTGACTGGGATTTTGACATGGTATCAGAGCGAAGGTCTCGGGTTCGATTCCCAGTGTGTGCACTTCGGGCATCCCAGTGCGGGGGGGTGTCAGAGGTCCACTGGGGATCCCCGATGATCCTAGGGAAGGGTTACAGGCACGTCGGCCTGGGGGGTTATGGGCGCACTCACCCGCTATATAAACAAGCCCTTTTATCCCAGTGCTTAGTGACTGGGATTCTGATAGCGAGCATCATCGGTCATTTGCTCTCGCGAATGAAGAGTGCCCGCTGCACTTCCTGCACATGTGAGGATCCTTCCGCATTTTTCGGGTGGAAGCGCTCGTTCCGAGCGTTTTTCTTCCGCCGAGTCACGTGGCTGTGCTTGTCTGGTCCTATTACCAGCCAGCAAGGGCGTGGGAGGGTTGCGAGCATCATCGGTCATCGGTGCTCGCGAATGAAGAGCGCCCGCTGCACTTCCTGCACATGTGAGGATCCATCCGCATTTTGGAGGTGGAAGGGCTCCTTCCGAGCGTTTTTCTTCCGTCGGGTCACGTGGCTACGCTTGTCTTGGCCTATTACCAAGCCAGCAATGGCGTGGGAGGGTTGCGAGCATCATCGGTCATCGACGCTCGCGAATGAAGAGCGCCCGCTACACTTCCTGCACATGTGCGGATCCTTCCACGCTTTGGGGGTGGAAGGGCTCGCTACGAGCGTTTTTCTTCCGCCGGGTCACGTGGCTGCGCTTGCCAGGGCCTATTGCCAAGCCAGCAAGGGCATGGGAGGGTTGCGAGCATCATCGGCCATCGGCGCTCGCGAATGAAGAGCGTCCGCTGCACTTCCTGCACATGTGAGGATCCTTCTGCGTCGCGAGCGCCCGCTGCACTTCCTGCATATGTGCTGATCCTTCCGCATTTTGTGGCTGGAAGCGTTCGTTCTGAGCAGTTTTCTTCCGCCACGTCACGTGGCTGCACAGGTCTGGTCCTATTACGCGGGAGGGTTGCGAGCATCATCGGTCATCGGCGCTTGCGAATGAAGAGCGCCCGCTGCACTTCCTGCACGTGTGCGGATCCTTCCGCGTTTTGGGGGTGGAAGCGCTCGTTCCGAGCGGTTTTCGTCCGCCGGGTCTCATGGATGCGCTTGTCTGGGCCTATTACCAAGCCAGCAAGGGCGTGGAAGGGTTGCAAGCATCATCGGTCATTGGCGCTCGCGAATGAAGAGCGCCCGCTGCACTTCCCGCACATGTGCGGATCCTTCAGAGTTTTGGGGTTGGAAGCGCTCGTTCCGAGTGTTTTTCTAACGTCGGGTCACGTGGCTGCGCTTGTCTGGGCCTATTACCAAGCCAGCTAGGCGTGGGAGGGTTGCGAGCATCATCGGTCATCGGCGCTCGCGAATGAAGAGCGCCCGCTGCACTTCCTGCACACGTGCGGATCCTTCCGCGTTTTGGGAGTGGAACTTCCGCCGGGTCATGTGGCTGCGCTTGTCTGGTCCTATTACCAAGCTAGCAAGGGCGTGGGAGGGTTGCGAGCATCATTAGTCATCGGCGCTCGCAGATGAAGAGCGCCCGCTGCACTTCCCGCACATGTGCAAATCCTTTCGTGTTTTGGGGGTGGAAGCGCTCGCTACGAGAGTTGTTCTTCCGCCGTTTCACGTGGCTGCGCTTGTCTGGGCCTATTACCAAGCCAGCAAGGGCATGGAGGGTTGCGAGCATCATCGGTCATCGACGCTCGCGAATGAAGAGCGCCCGCTGCATTTCCTGCACATGTGCGGATCCTTCCTCGTTTTGGGGGTGGAAGCGCTCGTTACGAGCGTTTTTCTTCCGCCGGGTCACCTGGCTGCGCTATATGTTATTCATTGTATCTGAACAGAGAAAATAATGCGTCGGTCGATTTGGTCAGAATGCACACTTGTGTGTAGCTACAAGGTGTCAAGAGAATTAGGCAAAAGAGGACTGAACTAGCAAGAATGGGGATACAAATAGCAAACCCTAGAAGGGTTGTACTCGCTACAGAGCACCCCACTACAGGCTAGAGCATAATATTCTGACACACCCCCATAGCCAAAGTGGGGTGTAATCAGCAGAACAAGCAAGCAGTACAAGCTCAGGGTGGATCACAATGTCACCACACATTCTGAGCACAAGTTCAAAAGGCAATAGTTTAAAGTTCACAATAATGGGTAAAGCTAAAGCTGTCACAGAGGGCAAGCGAGGAGGAGGAGGGCTGGCGAGAGGAGAGAAGAGTGGAGACGACGACTGAAGCTGCAGACACACGGGCAACAGACGGCACTGGTGCAACTCTAGTGGCTACCGGACGCAGAGCCCCGGAATACAGGGGTAATATCCGCTGCAGAGGGTGCAGCGGACCCACGGGCGACAGGTGCAGCCGGCTCTCTGAGCTACCGGAGGTCCGCGGAACCCCGGAATACAGGTGCTGCGAACGACACGACGGCAACCTCCGCTCAACCTCCTCCAACTGCCCCACACACCCCCCACACACCCACTGCTGAAACCCTAGCTCCATTCCCACGGCACCCCCCTTAAACCCCAAACCCTAGGCTCCCACACACCACCCCCCTCAGCGGCAGCTGTAGCAGAGGGAGACTAGGGAGGAGGAGGAGGAGCAGGGAACGGCACGCAGTGTCTTCACCCCCATACCCCTCACCCCCAAACCCTAATTCAGGAGAACGGGCTGTAGGAGGGGTGGGGCGCCGGTAGAAGCACGGGGGACAGTGGGGAGGGCAGGGGCAGCGAGGAACGGGCCGCCCACGGGCCTGGCACAGCCGCCCGAACCGCGCGCAGGCGGCCCGAGCCGCGCGCGGGCCTGGCGCTTCCCGTACGGGCCGCGCGCGGGCCTGGCGCAGCCCGTACGGGCCGCGCGCGGGCCTGGCGCAGCCCGTACGGGCCGCGCGCAGGCCTGGCGCAGCCCGTACGGGCCGCGCGCCGGCTGTACGGGCCGCGCGCAGGCCACGACGGGCGACGGGAGGCGAGTCGACGGTGGGGGGGTGCGCGCGGGTC